ATTGTAATCCAATATCGTCGAAAATCCATTTAAAAAATTATAAATATGCACTAAAAAAATATCTTAATTGTATCTTAAATTAAGCATACCCTCATTTTACTGAAGTAATATTTGAGAAAATCTACTGCATGCGGATTGAATTCGCATTTCCTCTTATCATCCTCGAAGTACGCAAATGGATCTGGAAATATCTCTAAGAATTGTTTTACTTGGAAATCCGTAGTGTACTGCTTTTGTTGTTCAGTAATCTTTTGTTTAGCCAGATATTGCGCTCGCGTTGGATAATCAGGGTTTTCTAATTTTGACTGAACAAATTGTTTTATCCGTTCGGGATCACTATATATTTCCTCAGCTATTTTTCTTAAATATACGGGATCTGCTTCAGGAAATATCATCAGCAAATCCGCATATTGTTCGTTCATATCATAAGATTTCGAAGTCGTTGCCTGTGGCTCTAATGGCTTCACTTGTTCAACCGATAAATTTTTTTGATCACAGTTGAGTAGCGTTTCGACTAAAGCAGCAATTAATGGTACTTCATCTCTCCCATCATCTTTCACGTCATAGCATAATTTCTTAATAAAACTAGTTTTTACAGTTGGAAACATAGGTATTAATTTGACAAATATTTTAGTAGCTTTCTCATTTAATACTATTTCTTTTTGTTCAGCATTATTTGTTACTTCTTCCGTCTTGTCCATGTATGTATGTATTTTTAATTTTTTAATTCCTATTGGATCTTTTTTTTCCAATTGCTCTACTTTACAATTCATTTTATTTGGATCGTACATTGTAATGAATTTTGTTTGAGTTAGTATCGGTGACTGTTGCTAAAAAAAAATAATTAATTAATGTTTATCTTTGTTCTTATCTCTTATATCTTATCATTAATATAATAAAACTGAAACTATAGAGGAAAGACTCCTATTATGAAGCACAGAGTTCATTTTGGGTAAATGCTAGCAGTCTATGGGCAGAATTTAAAAAAATAATAAGTCATTCTGAAGAGAATTTAATAAGATTTAAGATAATATTATGTAAAATTTAATTCAAATTTTTTTTTTAAATTAAAGAAATGTAAAAAGTGAGCAAATCGAAAAATTGTGCTCCTAATGAGATGCTCCGAGAAATCGATAATAAAATGCAAAGTACATCAATATTGCAATTAAAGAACTGTATTTAATGTTTTTAAAATACAGTCAATATATGCACAAAAGGAGCATACGATGCATTGTATCCAGAACTCATCTTCAGATAGTTGGAACCAAGCATCGCAGAAACAGGCTCCATGTTTATTCCGATTGTCTTTTTTATTATTGTACAGTAACATTTATACTTTAGTAACGATTTTCACTGACATAGAAGCATAGATTATTTCATATTAGAAATATCCTAGGTATCTCATTATGATTTCCACGACACGTTTTATGATCATCAAATCTAACTTCTGTAATTAAGCAATTCAACATATTTTTCTATTAGTACGATCTTACTCTGTCACTATCTGAATAATTTATTGCCAAATATTTACTTATTAAATAATAAACAAGGTTTAAAGGCACATCTCAATGAAGCTTTAAGACATCCAAATTCTAAAATCTTTTTTTACAATGACTACAAACATTGCCGGATTAAAAAACTTTTGGGCTTAAAGCGCTAAAAATTTTCAGATCCTTTACATCCTTAAAAAAAATACGAACTACTAAAAAATAAACATTTATAAATTTATTTAATAAATTAAATATAAGATTTTTCATTATTTTCGTTTTTTTTTTGGAATCAATAGCGTGTTTATAATTCATGTTATCTAAATCTAAAATAAGAAATAATAAAAAGGAATAACGAATGATATTAATTTCAATTAAAGTGAAACCTTCTCTTTTATATGTATATAGGCGTGTTTTCGAACTAAGCGAGTTTGCACCGACCTGAGTTAGATTAATGACGTCACATGTTTTACTATTGATTGATGTTACGTGTTCAATCAGTTATAGTACAGAATGTGATATCATTAATCCAAACTATGTCGATGCAAACCCACTCAGTTCGGAAACACTAATAGCTTCTCTCTCCTAATAGCATGCTTACTTTTGTGTTTCTAACTCTGATATAATACACACGCTCAACTTCATATGAGTTACATGAATCACAATCATAAGAGGTCTGTTTTTTGTGGTTAAACTAGTGTATATTTTTGGAACTTAAATATACGTTTGATATTTTTTTTAAAGCGAGAAAGAGAATTCTAAAACAATCTAGTGTAGAAAACGTTTGTTTCACTCTTATTGCATCATGTGCATCAGTTCAGAGAGTGCAGCAATAAAAAAACAGACTTATAGTACGATATATCAGTTATAATCAGGGAATGGAAAGTTACTTTTTAAAAGTAACAAGTTACAGTTACTCGTTACTTGAGAAAATAACTTTTCGTTACTTTTCCGTTACTTTTTTAAAATCGACGATCGCCAATCACAGCGGATAAGCCTAGAGGCTTTTTAGTCTCAAGTGCTTACTATGTAAAAATCATTAATTTTCTTTTCATAGAACTTTAAAAATTTTTTCAGAATTTTTTATCAACTTTTTAGTACTGCATTTTCTTGTTTTTGTCATGAGAAAATACAGTATTAAAAAATTCTGAAAAAATTCTCAGAACTTTATGAGAAGAAAATAAATGATTTTTATCTCTTGCAGCTTTTCTATTATATAAAGTTGATAGTATTTGAGTAAAAAATTATTCAAGACCAATATTTGACAATTTTTAGTAATTAATATTTTGTTAACTATTGCGAAAATTGCAAAATGATAGAGGACTTTTCGACTCAGTTCGATTCACTCTACCTGTTCATGATGGGTGACGAAATAAGTTAAAATCACCCTGTATAATCCGTCATTGATTACAAGCACGAAGACCTATTCTTTTTAGCTGAATTTTTGCACCAGTTCATCTTTTTTCCTTTTCTCTTTAGGAGGAAAGACGAAGAAGATAAACTGATGCAATTTTTGACCTGTCTTTCACTATATTGAAATATTATAAGATGAATGAATATTATTATTCATAATATATTTAACTATAAAAATATGAATAACAGAATATTTTCATAAGTAAACATAGTGAAAAACACAGATCAAAAACTTTTAACAATTTCGGACTAGTGTCGTCCATGAGACCAAACATCACGCGCTATGACAAAACAGCAATGAAGTGAGGAGCGATAATGGGCGTGAATACCGACATTTCAATTTCAAGCCAAAAAAGACTTTGGACAGCTCTGCATTAAATAATTTTCAATCCGAGAGCAATAAATTCATGATGGAATAGATAGCGTTTATTAGTTTAGCAGAAACGCCGCTATCTCATATTAGACGTCTGTCTTATAATAAGGAGTTTTTCCTCTATATCTGTTCACTTAGAACAGAGCTAGGCATCTATCATGGAACAAGTCGGAATGGATTCTGATCGGAATTATTTCCTAGATTTCTGTTGTTTTTCTAGGAAAAACGGAATAATTCCGATCGGAATTCATTCCGACATGTTTCATGATAGGTACCTTATTCAGGATCGGATACTTTTGGCTTGAAATTAAAATGTGTCAGTATTCATGCCTATTACCGCCCCTACTTCATTACTATTTATTATTATTATTATTATTGTAAAGCTCGGCGTTTGGTCTCAGAAGTGAGTAGTCTGAAATCGTTAAAAAGTGTTTGACTTATTTCGTTCGTTATGTTTAAAAGTTATTAATATTATATATAATGTATATATAAAATTCATGTATTTTTATAGTTAAATATATTATAATAATAGTATTAAAATAATATCTTATAATATTAGAGTAACAGAATTCTTTTGAACAATGAATGACATAGGTCAAAAACTTTTTCAGACTAATGTGATCCCTGAGACCGAGCGTCGCGAGCTACGCTAAAACAGCAATGAAGCTGGGTTAGTAAGAATTATGTTTTAAATATGCTCAATTTATGTTTTTTTATAATACTGTTTAAAGCATATTTGAAGCATTAAAAACATATTTAAGAAAAAACATAATAATTTACTCTTAAAAAAAAACATTAATCTTTGCCAAACCTGCAATGAAGTGACGATCAAGAATGGTAATAGATACGAATACCAAACATATTTTAATTTCAAGCCAAAAGTACTCGGTCCTGAACAACTCTTAAAACATAAAGAAATATATTACAAATTTGCAAGACTTTATAAAATGGGACTTTATGAAAGAAATTTGCGAAAGCAAAAAAAACTGAAAATTCAAACCTTTATACCTTTCTAATCATTATAATATCTGATTCCTGGCTTTTATAATTTTAAAATATAAAATTGGAAGAGACTATCGATTAATCCTTAGTACACACCTTAGTTTTGGCACCCTTAATTACACACGTTCGGTCATTCGTGTCCTGGAGATTAATTTTCATCACTTTTATAAATATATATAAATTATTAAACAATTTTTACATATATTTTGACATCTTTAGAAATTATTTGTGCAGCTATACATTCGTAACAGATTGTAGATAAATTGTTATAACTAAATATAATTAACGAAATGAGAAAAATACATTTCATGTAAAAATATAAAATTCTTAAATGAAACAAAAATGTTTAAACGAAAAATATCAATATCTTAAAATTGATATTCCAAACTACAAAAAAAAATAGTTTAAGTGTCAACTGTCCAAAAAGTTTAGTTGAGTATTCTGAAAATGATGTTTTTTTAATATGCATGAATGACTACACGTTGAAGATATATTGCATTTACATTTTAAACAGTCCATTTTATTAATCTTCTTGATGCTTCCATGGGTGCTTTCTATATAACTAATCTGTGCTTCGCGGGTTTTCTCCATGTCTTGGTCCATTCTTGATGTGCCAACGTTTCGTGGGCCTTGCAGTCCACTTCATCAGGGCGAGGAGGCGCTGCTCCTCGCCCTGATGAAGTGGACTGCAAGGCCCACGAAACGTTGGCACATCAAGAATGGACCAAGACATGGAGAAAACCCGCGAAGCACAGATTAGTTATATAGTCCATTTTATTGTTACTATTGTGTTAAAAAAAACTTATAATTTATTAAGAAAATGTTCTTTATAACATTACAGATAGCGTAATATATAATATTACTGACAACATTTAAAACAAAGGTAAAAATCGCATATATTAAGAGCTAATATGTTGTTTTAAGGTTAAGTTCTTTTTTTAATAATTCGTGAAATATTCCCGCAATACAACCAAGAATTAGTTGAAAATAAAGATTTTTTAGTTAAAAAAATGTATACTCTATACATATTGGATCATTTGTGACCCAGAGATGAACTTCGAAGTTATGTCAGTTAAAAAAATTACGCACAAATTGACACAATTGACACAAGGACACTAATGCACGAAATTTGTTCTCTAGATGTCAAACGTTTTTTTTAGGAATAGAAAAGAGATCGGTACTTGACCAGGTGCTCTTTGTATTTAAAAAATAAAAAGAAAAGAATGCGCCGGACACGAATGACCCAGAGGTGTTAAAGGTTAAGATTAATACGTACGTAGAAAAATTTTTACAAAAATTTTTATGAAAATCAATATAAATACAATTACAGTCAACACCTATCTGGTTTTCAACCGGAGAGCTGAAAAGCTCAGGCTTTTTGAAGAATCTCCAGTTCTCCGGCAGAAAAAAAATGTTTTGATTAAAGCTAATCGTTTTCGATAACTTTTTTAAGAGCACTGTAAAAAAGAGCACTGTAATAATTTGAAGCCAAAATCTCAGCCAGAAGAGTTATCGAGCTCCACCAGAACATTACTCACGATTGTGAAAATGATATATAAAGATTAGATAAAAATGTATGAAAAAAAAATCATAATATAAGAAAATAAATATTATCCTCATGGCTGAGCAGTGTGCCTGAAAATGTAACAACAAATGCAAAGTATCTTACTATAACTGCATTTAAAATATTTTTTGAAAAAATCTCAATATGCATTCTCGTTTCTTGAAAATATAATAGAAATGAAATGCACGCACAGTATATAGCCGGTTTCTAACATTAAGTAAATTTAACCTATACAAAATGTATTGAGGGAGAGATGTTCTTTAAATATTTTAAATGCAGTTACAGTAGAATACACGTTTTTACCTGTAAGCTTCCTTTATCGTAAACCTGAGATGTAGTCATATTGCTACTGCTTGCTTTTTGGAGATGTGAGGTATTTTGAGCGGGAACTACTGAAGTCGATGGAGTATTTATTGTTGCAGGTATTACTGTCTTTGTAGTATGGACATTAATTACTTTAGTGCCGTCTTTTTCTATAACTTTTACATATGGTTCTATTCGAGATTCTATTTTTACCCGATTAATCGATTGACACATTGAGGGTGGCAGAGGTACGACACACATATCAGATGCTTTTTTGTCATTTGATGACGTGCCTAGTAACATAGAAGTCGATGTAAATAAACTTGAATTTAGATGAGACATCGGTTCATTCTGCTTTATTACGTTAGGATACGTTAGATTACAGGTAGTAAACCTTCCTCCTATTGGATATTGGCTTATAGATGAATTTGAATTTGGAACAATTATTGGTTTATTCTGTTTCATTATATTAGTAGGTCCCATTTTTTTAGGTATAGAGCACATAGGTATAGAAACAGCTATTGGCAACATTGTAGATGTATTTTTAAGAACTTTTAATTTTGGCGGTGATAAAACAGGAGTTGTCGGTTTATGAAACTTTTCATGTGTGTTTGGAAACAAATCTTTTTGCGTGTTTGGAAACGTTAACTTTGCTGGTGCCACAACATTATGAACTTTATAGAATTCTGAATGCCTATCAGATTCATACATCTTTCTAACTTCCGAATTCTTAATCGAATGCAATTCTTTGCTCTCTGTACAGACTTCTGGTGACGTGAATATCTTTGAATTCGGAACAATGTTAATATTGCTAGTATTGCTACTGTCTTTAACGAATGTAGTGGATTCATCCGAGTTATGATTTAACTTTGTTTTTTTCAAAGGTATTATGCTTTGGTTGGTATCATTCGTATTATTTGAAGCTGCTACTTCTGACATATTCTTTTTCATTTCATCATTCTCATCTAGTGATGATACAAATTCTATATTTTTTGATTTTCTGTTATTAGCAATTACTTCGTTTTTCGCACACAATTGTTCTTTTTTTCCCAAAGCTGTATTTATATCTACCTGATCTTCTAGTAGAAAAAAATTGGAATTCTCTTCATGTTCTATAAAATTTATCTCATCTAAACATTTTCGTTTCTTTAAGTATTGTGGTAGCGGTCTTTTCTTTGGTAATAACTCCCACAATGTAAGCTCAATACGATTCCTTGCAAATCGGTGAATAACAAGCTTCCTATGAATCGAATGATAATTATATCTAGGTAGAAGGGCATGTATTAATTTTGCATCTTTTTGTAATTCATCCATACTGGACAACCTGTAGAAATCTTTTGCGTCAAGGAATGTATCTTCAGAATCTTTACTGCACCCTGGTCTTGAAATATTTAATCGTTTTCTCTTTATGTATAAAACATCATTATTATTTTCCTCAATGTCTTCTTTAGGCCTATCTTGAATCTTATTGTTAACATTTGCAGCTTGTCTGTCACTGCCAGTAGTTAGAACATGAATTTCGTTTTTCAACGATATATTATCATTATTACCATTCAGCTGGGAAGTAGAACATAAAAATATAGGTTCATCAATAATCGTTTTATTTACAGTATTGATAATTGAGATATCATCATAAGAATCATTAGAATTCTCAAAACAATTCTCAGAAGAATTCTCAGAAGAATTCTCAGAAGAATTCTCAGAATTCTTAAAAAAATCATTAGAAGTATCAGAATCAGATGAGACATCAATTACTTCACTTGGGTATTTCCTAGAAAAATTTAGTGCTTTTGGTTGTTTAAAAACTTTGTTAGCACTATGTTGTACTTCTGGTTGATCTTCCATGGAGGTGGATGGTTTTGGTGATAGTGGTAGATCTACATTTGTGTCCATGGAAGTTGGCATTTCAAGCTGTTTATACATTTTATCAGCACTGTGGCATTTACTATAGTACACTGACTGAATTTCCACAGATGATTCTGGATCATTAGTATTACGTATTTCTGATTGAATTTTCATGGAAGATACTGGATTATTAGCAGTATGGCACATCTCCGATTGAACTTTCATGGTAGATGATCCTGGGTTGCCAACCACTTCAGCATCTATACATTCTGGAAAATTCGACGTTCCAGATTGGAACGGAATGTTATCAGTACTAACAGATATCTTTGATTGAATTTCTGAGGTGGCTAGTTTTGAGTTATCAAGTATTTCTGAATTTATGCATTCCATAAGACAATCCAGAGTTTCAAGTTGTTCAGAAACTTCATCAGTATTATGGCCTATTTCCGATTGAATTTCCATGGTGGATGATCCTGGATTGTTAAACACTTCTGCATTTATATGCTTCACAAAAGAATATGGCATTTCCAGTCGTTCAGAAACACAATCAGTACTATGATTCATCTCCAATGGAATTTCCTGTGTGGACGGTCCTGGATTGTTCCTAATATTCAAACAGTTTTGAATATTATTGTTTTCTTTATTCAAAATAAAGTTCAGCATGGAATGGAAGTCATCCGTATTATATATCGTGTTTTTTAAAAGCGTCTGTTCTTCCATTGATAAACGTTGCTGTCTTTGAATCAACAAATTATCAAAAACATCTTTGTCCATAACTTTGCACAATTCTGTAAGATTGAAGAATAAATATTACAAAATTGAAGTTGTACAAATAATATTTTTAGAAAATATCCTACAAATTATAGAGAATAAGTACATATCTAGTAATAAATACGAGTAATGTAAAAATCAGACTTTACGAACATGTACGACAAAGCTAACGAGACGAAAATTGACAAAAAGATGATGAGATAATATGAAGGTTACTTAATAATTTGTTGACGTTTTGTTTGCAACTGCAACAGATTTAAAGCACCTCAACACTTCAACTGCACAAACGACTAACTTCAGGAAGTACAACAAATGGAGTGACGAAACTATTTAAGTATGTAATACGTACACCTTTCGAATTATCAAGAGATAATTGCCTAGTTTACATCGTGCACTTGATACACATACTAACTAGTAACTTTCTATTAAATTATTTTCATTTCAACGATATATTCAAAGAATAATGTACTAAATTGGTACAATATGCATCAAAATAATTAATTAAATATACATATCGTATATATGTTTATACGTATCACCGAAATTAAGATTATTCAATAGAAAGTTACTAGTTAATATCAGTATCAAGTGCACAATGTAAGGTGCTTTCCATCTACGGCACAGCGATCACCTCCCCCCCGATTTGCCGTGTCACAGCGTGTCTTCTTTCTTGTTGGATAATAATTTTATGCGTAGATACAATTTTTTACATTAAAATGATCCAGATGATTTATATACGTACTTCTTATTTCGTACCCTGTGTAAAATAGAATAATCTGAAGCGCCAACAGAAAATTAGCAACTATAACCAGTGTTCAACTATGCTTTTCTGCTGTGTCCAATTATGCCGTGGCGTGTCGTTATTGGAAAACACCGCGTCCGATACTATATCGATGTGTGTCATCACCTAAAAGCTTTGATGGAAAGCACCCGTAAACTAGGCCAATAGAAATATCCTTCTCCTGAGTTCGAAAACATCATCTTATCCTTGTTTAACATTGGCTGCGTTTAGCGGACTCAACAGTTGAGTGAGCGCTCGCCGCTCGCTGCTATTGATAATAATCTTCAAAATCTAAAATTCTGATTGGATTCTAAAAGAATATACCAATAGCAGCGAGCGCTCACTCAACTGTTGAGTTCGCTGAACGCAGTCATTGGATGAATGATAAGGATAAAATGTGAATGGTACTCGGAGCCACTCGGGTGATATTTCCGAACATAGCCCTAGAGTAATGGCTTCTGCACACGACGCAGAAACGCTTGCCGCGAAGTACAATAAAATGAAACACGGCAATGAAATTAGGAGCTGTAAGCTTATTGGCTACCGCATCAAATTTTACTGCGCGACAAGCGTTTCCGCATCCAGTGTGCAAAAGCCATAAGTATAAAGAGAGTGGCGCCAATGCACGTGTTTAAGGCCAGGTTTACACCTTGACGGAAAAGCGGAAAGCGGAAAAGTGGAAGCCAATCTCGGAACTCGCAGTAATAGTAGGCGGTACATTTCGCTTGTCTACTTCTCTGTCTTTCCGCGAATTCTGATTGGCTTCCGCTTTTCCACTTTCCGGTTTTTTTTTTCATCAAGGTGTGAATCCAGCCTAAGTTAGGTATTGATCATGTAACTTTTTCTCTAGCAAAGACGCAAAAAGTGAAAATTTTGATATGTATGCATATATACATATATACATACAAAAAATTTTCATTTTTTACATTTTCATCCTAGGGAAAAAGATACATAATGAATGTACAGCTTTACCGATATTCTCATTCTAAAGATATACTGTCATTGGACATCGCGCTGGTGTATCAGAAAGAATTGGGCATGTTGGAGCGTGCGACGCGAATAAACCTTATTATTTCCGAGCTAAGCGAGACGTTGATTGGTTATCGCGCCAACTTCCGTCGCGCGGCAAGCATTGCCGCGTTTTGTGCGTAGGAGCCATTAAGGCTTAAACTGATGTGTAAGTTTGATATATTCCAGAGCTCTGATTAGATGGCTTGTTATTCCCTATTGCCTGTGCCTATTACTTGTGCCTATTGTGTTTAAGGGTGAAATCACGGTGCGGAAAAGGGCTGCGGAATAAAGAATGCGTCAATGAAATAACCAATTAGCGCTATTCGGATAACGCAGAATAATACTGATTGGTTGCTTCTATGTCGCATTCTTTATTTCACAATCGTTTTCCACACCATGTGATTTCACCCTAAGTCTTTATCACTGCGACAAATGACATCATGAAATTGTACCTTTAGGTTGGCGCAGACGCTGCAGGTACGAAGTGGAATGGGGTAAAAGACGCTCGCGCGGATTGGTCGAACGCGCGGTGACGTGTGGAGAGGGGGTAGTGACTCTCCTCGCGATAGGTTATAAAGACGCAAGCGGAATTCTCCAATCAGTGTTTGTGATTTGAGGAGTGTCGTAGAACTCGTAGAGATGCGGGAGAGAACGCGAGCCTGATTTCCGATTGCGGAGTGACTGTTGTTTGTGTGGTTAAATCAGATTGGATCAAGCTGGAACGGGAAAACGGAAAAGGAAACTGACGCAACGACCACGACGATAAAGAAGGAAGAAGAGTATCGAGAGCACGCGGAATGCAAGTATACGAATACGGTGCTTCCCGAGACACGTAGACGTAGCGGTGTGTTGTACATACATACACGTCCCTCAGACGGACCTCGCCCGCGGCGAGAGGACTTGAGTTCCTGAGAGTTTTGGCGTGGAGACGTGCGGGAAACGCAACGGCGAGACAAACTCGGCCAGGGTAATCCAATTCGGTCTGGCAGTGCCGTAAAGAGGAGCCGCGAGAAGACAAATAAACAACGGCCCGAAGTCCGCCATTTTGAATAGAGAGGAGTCGTTATTGTCGTGCTGGGGAGCGAGTGGAACGTACCGCTTTTCCGTTTCCGTATCAGAGAGTAGGCCGCGTGAGGTGAAGGCGGAAGTAGGAGGAAGAAGGATACTGAGCTAAGGTGGCTAACGGTCACCGGATGTGGTCGAATTTGCGGGGAACGCGCACTGGGAGGACCGCGAGAGAAGAGGAACTTGAGGCGAGGTAGCATCGCGCTAACAGGTCCCCGGGGTGCCCCACCGCACTTATCCCACCGCGTCGTCACCGTCGTCGTCCCCACCACCGCTCTGCCCTGGATACTGTGATTATTGCGCAGTTGGAAAAATTGCTGAGCAGGGACGCGGGACGTCGTCCACGAGAGGCAATTCGTGAGCGTTTACCGGTAAGAAAGACGCCTTTGTGTTTGTTTTTTTTTCTTTTTTTTTTTTTCGAATTTTTCTAGACGGTCCGAGATCGTTTGAGAATATGCGTTTATTTTCTTATGGAAAAGCGCATATCTTATACCAGATACTGGGAAGATAAAATGCTTTCAAGGATTGGGAGAGTCGATTGGAAAAGACAAAGAACAAGAACGAAGTAATTGCGAGAGCTTATGAATCCTTTATCAAATTAACACACACACACACACACACACACACACACACACACACACACACACATACACACATATCTTGTCTCTGTATTTATCTTGGACAGCTGTTTGAATGAAATTTTACAAATGTCTGTTGAAATTTTAAAACTTCAAAAAAATTTATGCACACATCTTTTGATTTTTGCAAGAATGCTTGTCATAATACATAAAACTTCAAACCTCTTTTAGTGATTATAAAAATAACTTTTATATTGTAAAAAAAAAACAAGATTAAGTTACTGATAGCAAAAGCATAAAAATAAAATCAAATTTTTATAAATTTTTCTTTTCTTACATATTTTGTTTATATTTCCGTTTTTTTAAATATACATTAATATATATATAATGTGTTTATTCCTTTAATTCTTAATGAACTAAAAGCTAAATAACTTTTTTACTGTGTCTCAAACAACTCTGTCTTCCGGAAATGGTATTTGATTGGTGAAAGTATTGTAGAAAGTATAGAATTGATTCTTATTGAACATTTCACGTCTGTTTGTTGGTGTATACGAAACTGATTTGTATTATAACCAGAGTATTTTTAGATGTTGTATATGTATGCTTTTACGCTAACATTTTATCGTTATATAAAATTATTTATAAATTATAGTGCAATAAAGATAAAATTTTTACATATAAAAGTTTTACTATATTTGAATATTTAAAGAAGTATTAATTTATTTTTTTTTATGATAAGATTAAAAACCGCGTAACTATCGAGGAATTTTATATCTGTAACTTGTTATTAAACATAAATATTACAAATTCAAATGTTATCATTTACACTACAGTTGCATTCTTTTGAATATGTAGAAATAAGATCCGATTGCACCAACGTTACTTTGATTTTAAGCGAGACTTAAAACTCTTTGTCTCTGTCTCTTTTTAGCTTTAAAACGAAACAGATAGAGTTCAAAGTGACGTTGGTGCAACTGGGCCTAAATGATCTAATATAGCGAATTATTCGATCTATATATATATATATATACATATATATATATATATATATATATATATATATATAGATCAATTTCAGTAAAATCTTTATATATAGCTTTAGCATTTTTTACTCGTATAACTTCCAGCATTTTGACTAAAGCAAGATTAGTTAATTAAATGAAATCTATAGAGAAGAATTTTTTTGTTATAATTTACTAAAGTATTCTTACAATAAGTGTTTAATTAGCTTTGTCAGAGATAATGTTATCATCCTCCTTTCCAAACAAAGAAAATAGATATTACTTTATTTTCAAACATAAAGAAAGCAGCGTTTCTTCTTTTTGAATGAAAAAAATAATACTTTAAATGCAAATCGATGTTACGATATTTTTCGTAGAAAAAGGGAGAAAGTTAAAAATGCACAAATACCGCTTTGTGTTGCAGGCCAACGAGTTGGCTGAATAACGAGGGGATATTAGAAAAGTGAAACAGAGAGAAATAGATAGATAGACAAACATCCGAGCCATGACGAACTCCGCGCCCAAGTTAGATAACGCTAAGGTGGATCGGCAAGCCTCGCCGAAGGTCGGGTATCAGTACCAACACAACCATCATCATAATCGTTCTAACAGTAAATCCTCGCCGTTCCTATACAAGAACGGTCGCCATACGGTTAGAAATGCTAAAGATGGACGGCAGAGCTGCAGCCCGTACAGCCCGTCGTCCAAGAGCGCGAGAAACTCGCCACAACAACAGCAGCAGCAACAGCCACAGCAACAACCAGCAGCAGCAGCAGCAGCAGCAGCAGCAGCAGCAGCATACACAGCAGCAGCATACACCGCAGCAGCATACACCGCAGCAGCAGCAGCAACAACAACGTTGCGAACAGCGCAGTCCAAGCAGCAGCCCGACCAACAACTTCTACGCGGGCGCCAAGTTCTCGGAAACACCGTCGCCCGCGAGTGTGCCCAAGCCGCCAAGACATTGGACGAGCAGATTGATGGACAGCTGCGGTCAATCGGACAGCGCAAGCGAACACACGAGGCAATTGCGTATAGTGCTGAACGTCCAAGCCTGATACCCAAAAACCAACGTATATACCAGCAACGCGCGAGGGGAGAAGCGGCGACCGTCAACAGCTCCGGAAGAATCAGGTACAATAGGGAATTATCGTCGATAAAATCATCGGCCGAAAAGACTGCGAGAATAAGAGAGACGATGATACCGACGATGATGAGAAAAAAATGTGAAGATTATGATGACGACGATGATGGTGACACCGTGTGCGGTTCATATACACACGGGTTTTCGATTTTATCGCGCGAGTGGATACTCGTAATCCGTTCTTTATTCTAAGATACATCCAGCATACAAACTTCAAATCGTATATAAACTATGCACCGCGGGGGGGAGGGCTGACGACGCGATGCATCGGTGCATCCCGATGCCGCGATCGATGTGTGCGCGCGAGAGATACATTATATATGTATATATATGCGTTCTGGAACTCCCATCACGCGCCATCATTGTGACAAAATGTAAGTAATACTGTATTTTAGATTATCGTATACCACTAAACTTACAAAAAGGAACACAAGGAGAGCCTCACGTACATACATATATATATTATCTATAACATCCGACACACACAGAAAGAAAGAGTACATCCTCAGTCTGACGAGACGACAAGCGCGGACGAGCGAAGTTACGCTTCGCGACTTTTTGTCAAACGATGGACTTCAATATCGACGCGTTGAAAAAAAAAAAAAAGAACAAGCGTCCGATGATTTTTTTCGTGACCGCTTTTTCCAAAGCGACTTTTGAAAGCTCGCGCTTCATGCCGTTCTCGAGACACCCGGTGTTCGAATACACGTTTTTATTATCCCCTCGTGCTCTAATCGTCGGCACTAGAGACAAAGATCCGTAGCACGGAAATGCTGGACAAGCAATTATTTAATAGCCGCCCGACTAATGATCGTTATCAGTATACTTCTTTATTAACAGTTTCTTTCGCGAGCTTTATCATTTTGGTATTATGGATTGTAAAAAGACATGGCTTCGTATAAGAGATTTATTTCAGGCAGCTTTTTTTTTTTTTTAATTTCCGTTTACTTTTCTTTTTCATTTTTTTTATTGGGAATATTTTTTATTTTCTTGCTATTCTGCTACTATCTGCCAATAGTTACTGTTTACGTGAGATAGGTGTATAAGATTTTGAGTTTCTTAGTGCGTGTTACGCGAGTGGGTTAATTGAACGTGACCGACATGATAAAAAAGGAAGGGGATCGGGAGAAATTTGAATGAGAGGCGAGGATCAAATGGATGCTTTGTTCGTTTCGCGAATGCATCATGATGATCATCATAACACATTTGCGGAAAATTCATATTTCGACCACTCTTCTCGTGCTCTCGATTTTCGGCATGTTTCAACAAAATTAATTAATTGCATGTAATGTAAATTTAAGAGTTATTTTTACAATAACACAAAGATAGAGAAAGAAAGAGAGAAGATTTGTCAGATTTTTCCGTTGAAAACGGAGTCACTAATTTATAATCTTTCTTATCTCGATTCATAAGATTTCAATCTATGCTCGTTGAGCATCGCGATAACTGTTGTTACATTTGAAAAATTTAAGTACTAACTATTCCAATGCTTTATTTAGACGCGGATATCGAGGACAAAGACTTTTAAGAGGGCAAAGAACATTAGCGTCGTGACTGTCATGATTTAAGTAACACCGGATTGTTTCTTCTTAGAACGCAATCGTAGCCGTAAAAGACAGGATGACGATATTTAAAGGGCAGTACGCGGTTGCGTCCCTAAGGGACCGAGATTAATAAGTAAATTAAAAGCAGGAACAGCCGTTAATGGTAACTTAACCCGTCCTTGAAGAGTTGTCCTTCGTGCGAGTTTCTTGAGATCGTTTTTTGTGCTAACAGGTATAGGAAGAAGGGTAGTCTGAACTTTTTCGTTGTTTACAATGCTTTACGGGCGCAATTGTCATATCAAACTCGCACCACACTTCTATCTATATACTGGACACAGTAAACGGACTTAATATATATATGGTAACGATAACAATAATATTTAAGGGTAAATAAATAACAATAGTAGTAAGCTAAGGCCTTAATGATATAATAGCGTGGAGAATACAATCGATTTGACATTGCACAATCAAATCGATAGTGTGGTTTTCGTCAGTTTAGATTTAGATTTGCAAACTTTAAAATTTGTGTGTTATCTTCGTTTATCTTTTTTTTTTCTTATTTTGTAAGCAAAATTATTTCATGCCACAGACTGAGCAAAATTCTTTGACGTAGTATTTTAATTAATGTTTATTTTTTTTTTTTAAGTTTTCTGATAACATGCAATAATTCTTTTGCAACATTTATATCCACCTATTTTCTCTTCTTACATCAAATTGCTTTCTTTGGTAGGCGATTAGTCTTAGGTAAGAATAAGTTTATGAGACGGGTGTGAATGTGGGATGAGCGTGAATGAGTAGAAAAACGCAAAATCGATAGAGACCGATATCAAAACGCGCGATTTCGATTTTTTCGATTGCTCGCTCCGTATTTATAGTTTTGTAAGGTGAAAAATCCTCGAACGGTATCTAACAAACACACGATCGTGCGTTGAAGTAACGATCGGCTGATTTGATCTACACATGACGTCGAAAATTGTCGAAGGAAGACATGTTTCTACACGGACAGAGAGACAACGGATGTAAATTGTTTATCGGATGTAAATCGATCGATGTGCGCGAGACGTTCCCTTTCATTTTTTTTTGTCCATTCTCAACATCGTACCGGGTTCAAGAGAGAGGAAATCGATAACCTCAGGATTAACATATGCGGAGAAAGTTTGGCAACTTGCTTTCCGTTTGCCCTCGCAGTTCGATTTAGATGCGCAAGAATTACGAATCGTCACAGTACAGTTTTTTTTCTTTTTCGTTTTTTTTTTTACAGCTTTCACATTCAAAATTTAATTTGCTCGCCGTTCGCGGCGATAACGAATTCGTGCACGTGTCTTAACACGAGAATCGATGAAGGAGAACGAACTGATCGTGTCGGAATTTAATTCTACGTGACCGTACAAAGAGCTAAAACGATTAAATTGTAGAGTAGAGTGAGTGCAAATCTGTTTTGCATTACATTGCCCTTTTCTTTTGTTCTATTTTTCGATTCTTTTTTTTATTCTTTCGTGAGTTGGACAACAACGCACTGAATGATACCGATTAATGTCTTGGAGGCCAAGATATCATTCCAGTATTGTTCCACGTGTTGTTGACCAACTTGCGATTGTAAATCAAAATCGTCTTTTGAAAACGTTGGATAGTGTAGTGTGTTAGTGCTACACAAACAGGGATCTTTAAGGAAGTGGTTTTGGAGTGACGTTACGAGAGTTCGTAACACTTCAAATGATGCATATATATATATATATATAAAATGTGTATGTATTACACAATCTGAATTGAAAATTTGGCGGACTAATTATCGGAAATTGTCAAGCTGGGAGCTTGTTAATCTAATACTTAAAGTCTCGATCAGATTGGAACGATTCTAATACGTATCCGCGTATGCACTTATTTGCACAGCTTCCGACTTGATTTGTGACGGACAAATCAGTTCCTTGGATAGAATCCTATGGAATTGTCTATACCACATTATTTGTATATTTTTTGCATTGCTTTTTAACGAAGCGTATTGCATTATTTTAAACGCCATATATAAAATTTGTGCTGTTATATTTTTTTTAAGCATTTATCTTTTATATATGTTGATTGTTGCTTTTCGTAGACGCTTTTTCCGTATACGGTTCGCGCGAACAATAGTGATTGTAAGAGCGGGCAAGTTGTTTCTATGAACAATTTTGAAAAATCGTTTAATCGTAATAGGCTTTCTACAATAATAGGCTTTTTACTGTTTACTTTAAGCTTTAAGGGCAGAGTCTTGCATAACGTATAATGCAGAAGGAAATGAATTAAAGTCCTTTATTTTCTTTTTACAAAATAAAAGACTAGTGATTCTCTTGTGCTTTATGCAAAAGTCTGTGCTCCTTAAGTCTCAAAAATGGACTGGATCATAGTCGATTAGTCTTTCGATTATAACTTTCAATTTCTTAAGACTTAAAGCTTAAATAGTGATTTATTGTAGAACGTGTGTAAGAGTCTTCGAATCAGTCACGATAGCTAAGTCAACGCGTGATTAGAAGGAGAGATCTTGATCGATTCAGGGTTGATATATATCGTCATGGTCTCAGAATTCGCGGTAGATCTTTGGGGCGAGAAAAACGAATTAAACACTGCCGTCCGGTGAAAGAAAGGGATACAGAAGGATATACGGAACAAGTGAAAACGTGTGTATCTGTTGTCGCGAAGACAAGACGCTTGCGCCAGAATAACAATGTGTAAATATCAGCTGCGTGAACGTGAAAATTGTAGCTTCGATAAGGGGAAGAAAAGGAGTATCTTCCGAGTAAAGTTCGATCGGGTTGAACAGTACAAACGTTCTCGTCCTGTTCCTTGAAATTTCAGGAACGCGTTGCTAAACAAAAATTTGAATACTCGTGTTGAGAGCCACGTGTAATCGGGATGTTTCGGAGGACGGTAATGAGCGCCAGACTCGATTTTTTTTCTTATCGATCTTTTTACAGCGCGAACGTAGAACCGGTAAAAAAGAATACGCGATGAGAGAGAGAGAGAGAGAGAGAGAGAGAGAGAGAGGGGTAAGAAAATGGAGGAGGAAAGGCTACGAATGACAGAAAATCAATCATTTAACAAAGAGTCGATGGGAAATTAGCTGTGATGATGAGACTCAATAGTATTAACATTTAATTGATATAAAGTACATATATCTATATACGTATATACATTGAGAAATCATTTAATTGAATGAAACAATTTGATTGAATTAACTAAATCTTTTGTCTGGATATGGGCAAATTCTTTGATTGTTATAACAAAACAATTGTCATCATTATTGACGCTACTAAATGAAATTTTGCTGAAATTAACAGATCTATGCAATCAACAAATTAGTTATTGTAACATTTTACTTGTTTTTTATAACATAATTTCTCGTTGATACAAATATATTACAAATTCAATGAATAAAATCGGTCAGCCAAAAAATTTTATTTGATTCAGTCGAATAGATTTCTCAATGTATATATGGGTACACACACATGCATACGCGCATATATTATATAAGATTTAAAAAACTAGAGAAAAACCACAAAGTAGTTTAGGTATGATAAGTATGAAGTATGATGTTTATTAGATGGATAAAGAGAAAAAAAACGTTACGGTAGATAAAACGAGCAAAAAGGGAGGGAGAGAGAAAGAGAAACGCTTTTTTGCATTTTCTCTTATTGCTCTCCTTTCCTCCTATGAGAGAGAGAAAGAAGGATACAATATCTGTATTCTTTACGCTTTGATATTAATAAATGTAAATTTTTGATAGTTGATATAAATCGGGGACGCGTTTGGAGATTTGAGGAGAGGAAAGATAGAAAAAGAAAAGATAAAGAAAGTAGATCGTAAAGGACTCGAGCGTTTTCATCTCACGGCTTTAAAACATGATTCGTCATATCATGACTATAAAACACATACATACAAATATAGCTGATAATAATCGTAGTTTGTAACTGACGCGCGTTAAGTCGTCCCGGAAAAACGAGGATCGATTTTTGACGGATTAATGTGAAGTGCTAAGAATACAAAGTGAACAGACCAAGCTACACGAGTTTCGTTTCGAGGAACAAAACTGATTCCGAGTAAAAATTTTTCAAGTGGCGTATTAGAAAAATGAAGCGACCAATGCGAAGTAATAGTTAATCGCAGACGAGGCGTTGAGTAGCTCCGTGTTTGGTCTGTGGATTCATAATTCGCGGGTCCGAATTTGATTCTATTTGCGCCTCACGTGGTTTTCCGCATTAATAATTATAAAGGAGGTCTTTGTCCACTCGAGTTACGATGATCACTTCATCTGTGTCTTTACTTATTGCTCCAATGTGTAACGAATTAATCAGGGCAGTTTAGATAGTAAAAAGTTTTTAAAGCTTGTAGCGAAAAGTATAATACAAAGGTTTTAAGGTCTGATATTAAAAGTGAATAAAAGCGTGACTTCCTCGAAGAGGTCGAACACACATATTTATCGCGTGGATATCGCGATCCGTTTAAGAGAGTCGGAAGTTCAAACGGGGGGAATAAAATTAAAGCAAATCAAAATCGCAGAAGATCCTTCCAGAGTTTATAGTCCTCTTGGATTATGAAAAACGAGGCGTCTAAGACTGTTTAAGCAAACTCTACTTGATTCAAATTTTTCCGAAAACTAGACTTGATCCACTTTGTAGTCTCGGTACTTCATTTCTGACTGAGTAGTATGTTTTGAGAGTTAAAACGTTTTGACGTGCCCTCTCTAGAATGATGAACCACATCAGGCTATGTTCAAAGTGTCCCTCTCAGATATCATTTTATCCTTTTTCCGAATATTAAACAAGAGGTTTGTTTTTTTATTTCTGTACACTCTTTGAATTGGTGCACACAATGCACCAGTGCAATAAGTTGAAGTGAAACGTATATTTGTTTTACTTTAATTTATTGCACCGTGTTCACCAGTTCAGAGAATGCAGGAATAAAAAAACGAACAGACCTAAGGATAACATGATTTAGGGAGCAATCGGGTGGGAGTCTGAACGCATCCTTAGACCAGGACATCTCTCATGGAACAAATCGGATTATTCCCTAGATTTCTGTTGTGTTTTCTAGGGAAAACGGAATAATTCCGATCGGATTTCGAATAATTTTGTATAATACGTGTTTAGTTTTAGTTTTTTTGCGGAAAAGAAAGAGAAAAAAACGAAAAAAAAAAACGATCGAGCGGTCGGTTGTGCGTGATCCCTGAGAAAAGCTCCGGGTTTTCAAAAGAAACGCGAAGGTTTCTTTCGTACGAGGAAAATTCGGTAGACGCGAAACGATCCATTTAATCGATCAACATTTAATTGTGATATTGTAACGTACAAAATCGCAAAAGGCTCGGGCTTAATTAATAATAAAGCCAGGCAAGAGACTTCCGAGGGTTGATTATATCATGAAGACAAACCAAAAAAAAAAAAAAAAAGAGTATATAGAATCGTTTTTACGACGAATTCCGCAAACGTGTTCGCGCTAAGCGTGTTTCTCGCGACACGAGAATCGATAAGAGCGATCGTGCGATCCGGATATTTCATCGATACGTGACATTTCTCCGCAACATTCTCCAGCGGTTGATATTTACCACATTGCTGTCACGAATTAAGCGAGACCCTTGGCGCAAAAATCGAAGAGACTGCGCTTGGTTTCGCTAATTAATTTCTTGACAAGCTTGCAATATTTTTTCGTGGCAATACATGTACAAAAATGCGAAATCCTATTTACGAAAATTAGATTTCGCCTCGATAACGACACTACATTGACTAGTCATTTTTTTTTCGATAATTATTTTTTTGATAAACGACACGAAATTATTATCGTCAATAACGGATTTAAGAATTTCATTATCTGGGAATAACGAAATTTTCGTTCTATTTCGTGAAGAATCTAAAAATCGCAGCACATTCGTCGTTCGAGCATATACACGAGATATAATATAAAATTCTAATAGCTGTGCATATATGTGTGTGTATGTGTGTGTGTATGTGCATATATTTTGCTGTATCTTCACTTTCATGTTTTGAAAGATTACTAATTCAGTTGATTATATGCCTGTGCTTCTTACCTGAACTTCTTGCACAGTTTATCTTTTTTTCTCCAATGTTAAGAAAAAAGGAAGAAAACGATAAACCGTGTATGAATTTTAGCTAAAACGAACAGGCTTTATAGCTATATCTTTCGCTCGTATTCTATTGAAACATTAAAGAAATAGGTGATATTTCGTTTATTCTTTCTCGGTCATGGTGGAGCAAGCAGTAGTAGAAGTAGTAGTATAAGTAGTAGTAGTATATAGTAGTAGTAATAGTAGTAAGAAGAAACGCAGTTGAAATTTCACGGTGCTTCTTACAGACTTTCCAAAACTTTTCGTACAAATACTTCTTACAAAAGTATACAGTTTTAAGATGAAGGGAGTCGCTTTGGAACTTTCGTGGAAAATCCGTCGAAACAGAGTTGATCGTTTTAATTTTAAATTAGGCTCCTTCGTGGACTTTCTGAGGAAACTTGTTTCCTCTTTGAGCAGCAAACATCGAAGTGTTTGAGATGAACGGACTTAACTCTCGATGATCCTTCGCGAATGGATTAGAACGCATATACAGCTTTTTAGCAAATGATAACGTTTTCATGTAAGAAAGAATAAATCGCCTTTTTTAACGTATCTTTTATCTGTATTTAGCGGAGTCTACGCTTTTTAAAGAAAATTTTGCAGACATAAGGACGAACATTTAGCATCGCGTGACGTAAAACTAATTTTTTTCTAATTTGTTTCGCATTACCTGCGAAAGAATGTTTTTTATGAAGAGTGAAATGAACAGATTTATCACGACGATATCGAGTCCATTCTTGTTCATCATCGAAAGCTTACTGCACGCAGGATCGAAGGTAACTTTGAAAAATTTCGCGAATCTCCGCCGTCGGAGGAGAGAGAAACAATGCGGACTATTTGAGCACAAGAGATATTGCAGCGGAGATATTGAAGCTCATCGTGAACGAGACCAACGTGTTCCGAATCAGAGTTGCCGCGGAATCGCGACTCGTGGATATCCGGTTTCTCGTTCACCGTTAACGAGAATAGTGGACCTCGAGTGGCGATCCGCGTAAGATCTGGAAACCAACCCTTCCGTCACTGTACAAGACTCGCGTACACGCTCACGTCTTATCATACCGAGCACAGGGACACAAACACACAGCCACACACGAAAACACTGTGTCGATTATTAATTAAATAAGCCTTAAATTTAGGATTAAGAGTTGACAGAGCGAAACGAAAGAGAAGAGAAGAGAAGAGAAAAGAAAGAGAGGAGAGAGAGAGAGAGAGAGAGAGAGAGAGAGGGGAGAGAAGGAGAGAGAGGGAAAAGAAAGAGAATGAGAGAGCATTGTTTATACATACCGAAGCACTCATGGTCCAAACATTACGAACGATCCGCAGCTTCAAAAAAGGCGAAAAACGGCGCGAAATTCTCGTTTTTCTTTTTCTCCGCGATTATTACTCGATCGATTCATTCCTCGGCGATGACAGCATTGTTGTATTATACATTCCTTCAATCTTCTTTTTCTTCTCTCCACAAATTCTTGCCGTTATCGCATTCGATACTAAATTACGCCCGTGCCTCTTTTTCGCATCGCTCACCGTCTTGCCCGACGTTAAAAATCTGCTTTCCTTCTTCTTTTTTTTTTTTTTTTAAATTAGTTTTTAAGACTTCGTTTTACGGAGAGCAAAAGAATATAATTCGAGGCACAAACTTCACGATCTCAATCGTTCCGCGAGTTTTTCACCTCGCGGACACGATTCTTCTCAGGGTCGAGTAAGCGGGCGGACGCGACGCGACGCATCCGTCATCATCCGGAATCATTTCCGGAAGGGCAAGCTAAAAATGTCACAAGACATAGAATTGCGAATTGGCGAATTTACGACATATTCGTTTTCGAACCCGTCAGATTCTACAACTCTTTAACGACTGTGTTGTTGATGGGTACTTTCCATTTGACGTCAAACATTGTTCTGTCTTTGTAATTAACACAAATATCGTTCTATCCTCGATACTCGTGAAATACAAAGAAAGATAGAACGACGTTTGTGTCAGCAATGTCCAGTTTCTACCAGTGATTAATTTTAATCTCGTTTCGACTTACTCTTCATCTTTGAATTCTTAGAACTGGAAAAAGATGAAGATTGAGTCACCTTGAACTATGATTAAAATTAAACTACATCGGTACTGTTAGGTAGAAACGAGCATGAATGGAAAGCGTTCAATCTTTCGTTCTCATGAACGGGTTATTGGAGCGCCGCGGTCGCTTCCGGTCGTTTACGCGAGCCCGTGCGTCAGAGCCGGTGAATTAGAAATCGTTCGATTAATTAAAAGACATCTCGAGGGGCTAATTAATTCGTTTATAAGCGGTTGGTGACACGCTTGTCAACACGTTTGTGGCAGGAGGAAGGAGCTGTTCGCCGCTTGCCAGAGCGTTTCGCGCGCGTCCTCCGCCGGAGGATCGACGGGGAAGACCCGTCGACGTGACAATATATACACGATATATGTATTCTTTTTATCCTTCCTCCCGCCACCGCGTGTGAACAATTCGGTAAAACGGAGCAGCGCGATGCGACGATGCGAGAGACTCGTTAGGGGAGAGGATTTAATTTTACGCAATTCGTGCGCCTCGCGAGAGAGGAAAGTTGCCTCTCCTTCAAACTAGAGACTCTTTAATAAGAGGCTGGACATGGGGAAACTTTGAATTGATCCGCTATGTTTTTAACAATTTCTGGAAGAGAGAAAGATAGAGAAATAAATAAGAAAAAGGTGGAATAGAAAGAGAAAGAAACAGTAAATGTCTTCCTTTCTTGCAGATTTTTGTTAAAACTATTACTTTACGTATACAAAACTGCGGTTCGTGTCCAGACTTATTGAAGAGTCTTTCTCTACTTGAAACATGGAAGCTGCTCCCCGTCGCTCGCACCGTGGCGAATGCGCAGCCGAAAGCGAGGAGAATTGTCCGCCAGTATGGCGAGAGAACGCATTGACTATTTGAGCGAATCGAGACCATGTACCTTGATATATATATATACATATATATATATATATATATATATACACGTATATATAGTTTAGTATATTTCCGGCAAATGAATGTATGTCTGTGAATGTGACGAGCGTGGTAGAATGCGTGTGTGTGTGTGTGTGTGCCAAAGTAAGCTGGGTCGAACGAGTGAGAAAGAGAGATTGAGAGTGAAAAAGAATACGAAATATATATAGAAATATATATATACATGCATACGGAAGAAGAGAATGTTTGAGCGTGTACGAGCAGAAGAGCTTCCTCTTCCAAGAACACGTTTTTCCTTCCACGGTCTGTCGATTTTTTTTTAAATTGATCAATGATAATTCCGAAGGGCAACACATGCGTATTTCGTCAAAGATAATTCTTCACGCGTCATCATCCGTGTTCGGCTCGTATTGGCCTTTATCTCTTGATAAATGAAGAAATGCAGTCCCGGCTTTACGGAGACTCGCGACGAATACGTAATCAATGTGATGACGTTTAATGTGATGACGTTTGGAAAAATAGCGCATGGAATCCGTTCGACAGGTCGCCGGAAAAACGTGTTGCTTTGGATCAGAATTGTTTTTGCACGCGTGCCCACAAATTCATAATGTAGGACATCGGTCGATCGCCGTTACAAGTAACGCGAGTAAAACGGCGTGCGTGTGAAAGCGACTTTCCCTATTTGGTAAATAAGTGCGTAAGAGATTCTCCTTTTTCTCTTGCAATTTCTCAGGGGGGAGATATCCGCGTGTTGAGATCCAATCATTGATGAGGAAGATCTCACTATGCGGATTGATTGCAAATCTATAAGAAGGGAGGCGTTGTCTCGAATTGTTCCCCAAAAAAAGAATCGTTCGTTAACTCGGATGGTTTTTTTTTTTGTTTATGAAAGAAATTGTATAATCGAAAACGAAATGTATGAATTAAACCAATGAGACTTAAAAGATATGTACATATATGTAACTTTTAAGTCGCAATTTTAAAAGTTATAGCTTTAGAAAGATTTGAACTGATCATAAAAGTTGCAATCTGTAGCAAGAGAGTTTTTAATTTTTGAGATAATATTATAATGATTATGATTATTATTATAATATTATACTCTGAAGATTTTTCCTTTATCATTATGTTACATTAAGTATGTAAAATAATGCGTTTGTAAATTGTCTAATCACTTGCTGAAGATTGACTGATCATTTATTGAAGTTATTCTAAAAGGCTATTGCCGTTAAATATATGAGAAAAATCAATAGTATTACATGAATACATTTTATGAAAAGTTTATATTTATTTATGGAGATTTATATTTATTTATAGAAATTATATAAAATGTTCAAAAACAGCAAACATTAATTGTCCAAACATTAATTTTAAGTTCGTATTTATCATATGATTCCATAAAAGAAGTGATAAGTGTATTTAAAAAAAAATGTATATTTAAAAATGTATTTACAAAAATTGCGAACCCAGAAAACGTGTTTCTTTTAATCGATTAATGCCAAATTCGCACGTTTTCGATCTTGATTATGGAATCGAAATTATTAAGAATCTCGTGCTACAGCATTAGATGAGAAACATCAGACACGATGCGGTTTCTCAAAATTAAATCTGCATCGCCATTGCGATGTATCATAGAATTTTACGATAAGACGAGGAAATTATCTTTTTCTGTGCACGTGTTCTTTCCCCCGTCCCTCCGTTCGAGCACACAACCCTCCCATTTCTTCGCGTTTATACGTTCGTCCGATAAATTTACACTTCGTACTGAGCATTGTTTTTCTGGTCTACTTTAATGGAACAATGATACAGATACGTTATCGCGAGAATATGAGGGAGAGAAAGAAAGAGAGAGAGAGAGATATGCGGTATAAACGCGAATCGTTTCTTTTGAGAGCACGAGTGCGACTTTGATAAGCTATATAATTACAAACAAGACGCGGGAACAAATTGAGATAAATGTTTTACGTCTAAAAGAATCGATTGTTCTCGAGATAAACGACTCGTGGTGTGTTTGTGTGTGTGCGTGTGTGCGACTGTGTTCATTTTGTATTTGCGAAAATTTAAAGGATCGAGATGCAAACGACAATCCAAGGATGCGATCTCGAAGAACAGCGGATAACATTGTTGGTAGTACGATCGCACGAATTGGCAAGAGTAATCGCCAGAGAAACTTGCGCGAGGTTTCCTTTTCTTTTTTCGTCGAGAATGTGCGTGAAAGAAACAAGTAAGAAAGAATGAATGAAAGAGAGAACGATAGTTAAAGAACCGCGAATCTAATAGGGGAAGTTAATAATAGTTGTAAGAATAGCGAGTCGCGATCTCTGTGATGATGATAACAACGTTGAGGATGACAGTGGCGATGATTTTTCCTCCCTCCGTGTCCCTTTGACGGTTACTGTCACGGGCACGACGAGATGCAATTAACCGTCGAGGTTTTTAGAATACATAAGGCATAGATGATAACGACTGTAATCTATTATGTAGTATTGTAAAAGAAAAACAAAAAGCTAATACTTAAGGTTCTGACTGGAGCGCGTTAATAGGCATTATATATATTATATATATGTCACGATTAAGAATTTAACTGTTTACAAGGAGGGAGCACGTCGGTCGACGATAATGAAGATAGTAATATAGACGACGCGGTACATTTAAATAATTGTAAATAAGCAGACAAAAAACGCGTAGGAGGGAGGGTGGATGCCCTCGAAAACAGGCAGAGAGGCAGAGAATTATTTTGCTACGCGAGAAGAGGGAAGACTTCCGAGAGTTTTTGTGTGCGGTTCACATTGACGACCCGTTCGAGCGATTACAGATCCGAACGTCGATAAACTGCCGATTCCGCAAACGTGAGATTAAAACCGCGAGAATGAGAAAAGAACGAAGAAGAAAGAAGACACAAGAAGAACGGAAGGTGGTGGGAGGAAGACTCGTCGTTATGCGCAGAAACGAGATCTATAGATCGTCTATTCATCTAATGACGATCCAATGTCAAGTTCGCATTTGTGATAACATTTCCAAGATCTTCGGAGGAGAGGGATAATATCAAGAGCTGCAAGAATCGCTATCTTTGAACAACGGAAAATTATCCTCAACAACAATACATCAGATAATTCGAGATAATTCGTCGTAAATGCGGGATAAGCAATTCTGTCGAGAAAGTAAACTGAGTGGCCATTTCTTATCTGTTATTGAGATAGGACGACTCGAGGAGGAAATGCGAGACATCATTGTGATCGCGCGAGAGACGAGGAAGAAGGAGGGGCACATAAATGACCAGCAATGGCCACCTTTCGACGCGCATCCCGTTGTTTTCGTCGCGAAACAATCGTCTCATGCTTGCGCGTCCGACGAGGAAATTTCGAAGAAGAACTGGAAGTAATCAAGAAAGAAGAGCAAGACGGAAGATCGGGATACGGATGACAAACTCGACGCAAAGGATCATCGCAGCTTTTTTTCTTCGTCTTTTATATCCGCAGAAACAGAAGAGGATCGTCAAGAGACCAAGATGCGGAAGATCCAAGGACGAAAACTATGACGCTCGGGGAAGACAATGTAACGAATAAGGTGAAGTTGGAAGCTTCCTGGAAGCTGTTCGCTTAAATCGCTCGATATTATTGTCGAGAAGAAAAAAAAAAGAGAGAAGAGTCATACTTGAAAGGTGTTAGAGCGTAAATTGTTTGTATCGTACTTTGCTTTGCACATTTATAATACCGATGAGTTTTTCGAAGGAAGAGCTGTGGAGCAAAACTAAAGGGGTTCAAAAAAGAAAAAGAAATGCAACGGTATGGAGAGGGAGCGAGAGTGGAAGAAGACTGAGGAAACGCAAATTTCTCGGGTGCGAGTGATCATCAAGATACGGAGCGAAGAGCGGAGCAGCAAGTATATATGAAAAAAGCTCTCCGTTCGTTAGCAGAGCAGTATCTTGAGTCTGAATGATTGTAGTGGGTCTCAGGATTTCCAAGAAGAAAAAGAAACGAACCAGAAAATGTCTTTTGAAAAGGCGCCAAAAAAAAAAATTATAAGTGCAGATGAAACCAATGAGAGAGAAAGCGGGCATGCGTGAACGTATGAAAGAGGCGAGAAGTGTCGAGGGCAAGAAACTGTCGAGGGAGAGAGAGAGAGAGAGAGAAAGAGGAAGAGAGCTTAAGAGAGAAGAAGTGGAAGAGAAGACCGAGAGGAATCGAACGATTTGGCGTGCAATAGTGTCCGATCAATTTCGGGGATGTGGTAAACCAGGAGAACAGAAAGCAGGCGGAGTTTTCGGTTCCTCGACTACAAGTCGTGGGAAAACCCCAAGCGGAGAGTCTTTACGCAAGGGAAAAGCCGGGGAGTTTTAACAGAACTTTCTGTTTCCGTGACTTCCAGAGTATATTTCAGCGCAGCGCAATTATACAGCCACTTACACGGGGACGGAGTTCATGTATTTCAATGTCTATGTGAGTCGCTTATATATTACGAGAGGCGCACATATTCATATCATCATTGTTGAACGAAGAAGGAAAAGGAGATAAAATAAAAAGTAGAGGAGTGAGGAAGACAAACTGCGAGCGAAATCAGAGAAGGATCTCTGATGACGGAGATAAGACAGAAATAGAAGAAAATAAGTTGCGGACTCGCTTGACGAGTCCGTGTAAATAGATGTGTGCTGCCGCTTTAAAAAGAAGACACCGAAGAATCCTTGGAATTTACATATTCAAGAGGAAAACGGAATCAACATCTTGCTATTCACGCAAGAAGCGAAGAAGGAAATCATCAGGATGGAGTAGAAGAAATTTCCAATTATTTTTTTTCAATTATCCCATTCCCTTATTAAAAGGAAAAAAAAATTCTTTGAATCGATTTAAGAATTCTAAACACGTAACGTTTGGCCGTCTTCAAGATTTGCAACATATTTCACGGGAGAATCGCTTTTTTCTTTGTTTCCTCCTCATCTTGTACGTCCAGTTGTATTCTATTTGAAGATTCTTCCGCATAATCCTTCATTATCATTCAGATCTTCATTATCGTTCACATGAGCCTGGACAGTGGGGGGGGTTTTTAGTGGGTAGGCGATACACATGTCGAATCCCACACACCTCGGGGTACGGGCCTCGGGGCGTCTTGCGAAGATTTTCCCCCTCCTACGTAAAACAAAAAAAAAAAAAGAAAACGATGCTATAAGTCTGTTTTCTGTGGCCGAAAAACCAGTGTATACTTTTGGAACTTAAAGTGAAATAGAGGTATATGTTTGATATTTGTCGAAAGCGAGAAAGAGAGTTCTAGCAGGAACAGAAAACGGATCATATGTAAGCTGACCTTTTGAAAAGGCAACGAACATTTGGAGGAGACGTGCAAACTGTCCTTTTCAGGACAAATTTTCAACATATCTGAAAAATAATAAAATGTTCTTCCTGTTAAATTACATTCCCTTTTCAGGATATTGCTGTGATCGATTACGGAGACAGGTATTATACAGTTTTTAATAATAATACATTATTTATATGAATTGTACAAGTTTTCAAAATAAATCTCAATATTTTTTAATTGAATTTAATATGTATATTTAATAGGTACCCAAATTTAACATTAAATCCATTTTTTAATAATAAATTTCATCATGCAAAAAATTGTGAAAATTCTTTATTGTACCTTTGTACAAAATTTGTATAAAAATACGAATTGAACTTTAATTTTGTTTGACTCTTTGAATTTGTAAATATTGTCGATCTTAAAATAATTTAGTATGACATAGTTTTATATTATCAAGACTGGTTATCATTTCTTAACTATAAAGGAAAATTTAGTATGTTATGATATAAAGATAGTTCAATGTTCCAATTTATTTCAGTATAAACATTTACATACAATACATATGTGCAACATATAAAACATACATAGCGATGTGTCAGTCCATTCAGCAAATGGCGCAAGCAATTGCGTCAATCAGAACTACGTTCAAAACAAGTGACGTGGAAATTTCCATATTTCAACATTCGCACGAACATCTCCAATAGCCAGCATATCTCTATAAAAATAGGACATATTTATGATCTTTCGAATGTATAATTTTTTCCTTAATTTTTACTAATCTCTTGTATTGTAAATAAATAATTTAACATATGTACATTTTTAGTAAATGCCTTATAGGATTGTTTAAAAAATTGTTCGACCTTCAACTATGATGTGATGACGCAAATTATAATTGTACAAATATGTAAATATTTTAAATTTTTATTATAGATACATTTTTTTTTTTTTTTATAGAAAAGAATATGTCAGGAAAACGAGCTCTGTTGAGCTCTGTCTTGTTTCACTTAGAATTAACAAAAGAGAAATGTGAGTGATGAATCATCCAAACTTAATTATCTTACCTCTTGGAATTTATACATAAGCTGCTGATACTTTCTTTGCCAGTCACCTCAACTTTCACATACGCTACGGGTTTACCATCTGTGACGTTGTAGAATTTTACACACGCGCCTGCTCCGTAAACTGCGAATATGTCTTGATTGCCAATCATCCATGTTAATCCCACAATTGTATTATCCACGGAAATGGTTTGATGACTGACATGCTACGTTCATATAACACAATTATATGATGTCAGTTATATTTAAAAAATTAAAATTAATATATAATAAACATTTTTGTAAAAATTTGACTATTATTTCACTTTTTTCTCTTCTATACTTATTATTAGGATATTTTAAAAAATGTTTTATCTCTGGTATTTTTATCTCTAATCTTTTGAATAAGTATTGTTCGCAGAATAGTCACGTTTTGCCAAGAATGACGAGTTCTTACGTGAATATCAGGCATGAAAAAGCAGACTCATGTTTCGCTTAAATACTTGTATATTCAAAGATAATATTTGTAGCAAGTAATTGTAAAATACAACAGAATTCTGTAGAATTTTCTATTTCTCTAATTTTATTTTACATAGATGCTATTTATATGCCAGAATTTCTTTTAACACAATTTAATTTACATAATTATCATTCATTTTTAATCTCTATATTACAGAAAAACTCAATTGAAATAAACAAAGATATCAAATAATGTTCCTTTTTATTTTTATAAGATTAAAATCGTAATTAGTAAGGCTAAAACATGACATATGGAAGTTTACCTCGTCAAGATTGTATATACGGATTTCCTTATCCGTGGCACTGCTGACAAACAAATTGCGTAACGGTGAGCACTTAATACAGGTAATGCTACCTCCATGTCTTTCATATTCATCGATTACAGGATCTATAAGCGTGGCATCTCCTGAAATTAATATAAGTCTTGTTTACGATGAAAAATTGTACATTATATTATCCTGTTATTAATAGATGTGAACCTTCGATAGGAGTTATGCTGTCCAAGCTACATTTATAAATTCCACCGCATAGTGTTCCAACGATAAATATACTGGGATGCTTCAGTGAAAAATCGAAGCTTGTGATACACAGTCCTGCTTCTGCAGCGCGTTCGCTACCTCCGGCGCTGCGTGGCCTAGCATTTTCCACCGGATTACGTTCCTTGACTATTTTGAATCTGTAATACAACAGAGATTGCATAAACGGGATTGCACATATAATTGAAATAATCGATTAAATAGCCAGCAGTACGCACCGTTTATGCAACTGAACGGTTGTAAAGTTAGCCGTCAATTTGTGAATCAATATGTATCCATCTCTGCTGGAACTCAACAACAAGGTCACGTCGTTCACGGATCTTGGTCTCCAGCATACTTGGGACACGCAGTCGCCATGCGTGCATACATGCATGGGTACGACGGAATCGTCGTTCCTGAGATTCCAGATTAATACATCCCCTTAAGAAATCATACAAACATTTATCAAATATATGCGATAGCGAGATGTGAATTTTGTTAATATTGCTGCTAATTGGAATTAATCTTCTACCGACAGTTGGGATCCTGAAAAGTACTATCAACATTTTCTTGGTAAATTTAAATTAAAAAGTAAGTAAATTCAAAATCCAACTTCTTCGATGGTAAAAGCCTTGATCGTTAAAGCCTTGACAACCAAGAATATAAGAATTTTTTCAGAATTTTATAAAATCCGGAATACAAAAAATTTGCTGTTTCTTGATCCCTATTGCTGACAGAAGAGTTAAAAATCATGTTGCTGTCAGTAGATCAAAGAAATTTACAATTAGATCCGGCTGCGAGGATAGAGGGTTCTGTTGGATGATAACACAGCGTTGTAACACATCCATTCGTCTCTAACGTTCTAATAGGCACGTCTATAATATTATCTTCAGTTGTGAGATTGTATAACTGGACTGTAGAAAGATGATCGCACCATGCTTCGTGATAAGTATGACTGAAGCCTACTGCTAACGTTCCACCAACGGTGCTCCAAGATAAATCACTTATTTTAATCTAAAAAGCATTTAATCATTTAATCTCGTATATGAGTTATATAATTTTATTAAAAAGATGTACCTGAGTATCTGGTTCCTTTGGTGTGCTTATTTTTTTTAATAGTTCTATATTAGCGGATGATGCTTCGGTTACATTTGGATTATAGTCGTCAAAAGCATTAGTAGCATAAGCTTCATCAAGGGCCTCCAGGATCCCCGGCGTGACTTTTTTCAGAAACTTTGCCAGTTTATCATAATCCACTTGTACATCTGTTTTTTGTCCATTTACTGTTTGAATCTGAAATTAATAAAAATGAATGTGTTGAAATAAAATAATGAAAAAAAAAACAAAGATAGTTATTTAAGTACAGTGTTAATTTGAAACATCTATGGTTGGTTCTACTTGGCACTTACACAATGCTTGCAAGCATTTATTTTTGTTTTATACTATATATAAACAAAAATGAAATTATTCCAAGAACATTGCAAGCGTCAAGTGAAGGAACTAAACCTATAAGATTTAAATACAAGATGTAGATATAAAGAAGCTATTACAGTTTATTAACATTTTGCACATTTTTTCAAGAAGTTACTTTGTCTTGCTAAGCGTAAACAAAATCTTCTAAAAATTTTGGAATTCAAATAAAATCTTAATAACATACCCCAATACTTCTTGTCTCTGTGCTCTGCGTTTCATCAGCGGTATAGACTATCTCTGTTGTTTGAACATTTGCGGACGTTTCCAATCTAGTAGAGAATGATATGTTGCGTTATTAATTAGATTAAAGGATTATTTATATATACATATAAATTTTACAACAATAATTAAAATTACAGCTCACCTCGCAGTAGACAATTCCGAATTGAAGCTCACAACGTCGAAGGACTTGGTGCTAAACATTGTTGTCGATCAAGTTTTTCCGTAATTTCTCTCTTTTTTTATTAAGCGTTCTGATTTATGTATAATTAAAAAAGTTATAAATTATACTCTCTCTTTAAGGACACCCGATATTCGGTTGTCACTGACACTATCGAGATGTATATTTGTGGCATCAGCATCAGCTGTTAAACCGTTCTCGCCATCTATACCATGTTGGATGCAATGACTATGTACTAACTTAAAATCAGATGTATAAAATTTCTTAACCGATAACATAGGTTAAAGCAAGCTTTCGCAACGTTATTTGGAGGAATATACTATATTTTGGTGTGCTTTTCACAGTGTTTTGAAAAGTTTTGAAAAATCCATAGTGTAAGAATGACGGTTGAATTCTTACTTAAAAAATTTTAATTTATTTATTAACATTATTTCAGATAAATAAATTATTTGCACGTTTTTTTTATTTGTATATATCATCTTTTTAAAGTGTCGATTTCATTTCACACATTACTTGTATTCTTATATGTAATATATATATATATATATATATATATATATATATATATGATATACATTTTTGTTGGCGCTTTATTTTTAATTATTCAAATTACTATTATTTTTAATTCAAATTAAAACATATGATTTTTTTAATTAAAAACAAAAATTAGTTAATCTTCTATGGATCGAATTTTTTCATGACTATAAAAAAAATTATATAATGTGAAATCAATATCAAAATACAAATTAACAATGAATTCAGCAATTTCAATGATTTTGTAACGAATATGGTTTTGTAACTTTAAAGTAACAACTTACAACGTTTGCACTTGTAAAAGCTTAAGTATGGAATTCCATAAAACAATCTATACTTGACATTAAACAAAGATATACGTTGCATTTCGAACATTTTATTTTTTGATTGTGCACCCCTGTTTTTTGCAACGTCCCCTCTTATCCGGAAAAATTGGCCAATGTGCTATTTCATCTTTTGCATGTCTTTCACTGGAAATATTGCATGTGATCTTCTTAAATTAAATAAATTAATAAAATATCGATATATACTAGTATGTGAATTGAAAGTTACATGGGCCCATAGAGAGTTAAAGTCTGTATTATTCTAAATTTACATAAACAATCAACAATCATCAGGAGAATCACTGCGAAATATAATTCTGTGTATTTAATTTAAACAATTTTTGAATCTTTTTTTACATTAACAAGATTAATATTATTTCTAATTTTTTTTACGAATTAGATTGTTAATTTCCCATATTGAGACAAAAGACTTTCCTTTACAAAGTTTGAATAATAATTGATTTTATGCGAAGTTGTTCTACTGTAGCAATTTTTTAAAAATCTGTTATGAAATTATATAACGTTTTTAACACAGTAAGTTTTTAAAAATATCGTACACAATTTGTTATCTTTTATAAATTAATATTAATTAAGCATATGAAACACTTTTTATTTTATTTCAATTTATTGTTTATATATGACTACTAATTAGCATTTTTAATTTAAATAATAATTTAAAAAGGTAGTAAAAATATAATAACAGAATAAAACAATATACAATAATATAACAAATAGAATAATGTAAAAATAGAATAATGTACAAATAGAATAGAACAACACTTAACAACACTTTAATTTAAACTTTAATTTCTTGAATATTTCGTGAATATTTTCGGTCTACTATTACTGTCAACACACAATTGAAAATATTTCTTCAATGTTACTCGTTTCTTTCCTCGAAATATTTGGCCCCGTATAATCATAATGATTATGATGTTTCCGGTCACTTTGATTGACAGAAAATTCTACTTGCAGATGCCATGTTTACAGGATAATCCGTCAGCGCAAGGACACAGAATGTAGTGAATATCTTTAACTTCGATTTGTGAAGTGTCCGGGTAAGTCAAAATGGTCGTGATAGTTTCAGCGTTTACTCGGCATTGTTCATCTTTCTGTTGAAACGGCATGCAAGTCGGTATTGAGTACCTCATAGGCCCTAAAAGGAATCAATAATAGTCAATGCACCTTAGAGTTCGAAATGTATGTACTTTTTTAACTGGAAATATATATCTAGTATATTTATGTTCCTTTGTTATTAGAATGTTTTAAATATTACTATTTTATACATATATTAATTCCAACACCTAATATATATATATATATATATGTATTAATATTACAGGAAGGAATGTTATACCATGAGAAAAATTTCTGGTTGAAAATGAATGAACCAGAAGATTCTGATTAAATTAATCAAAATTCTGATTATCTTAACTAGAATTATAATAGATTCAACCAAAAAATTCTGATTTGTCCATTTTCAATCAGGATTTATGTAATTATAAGTATACACACACATATATATGTATTAATCTAAAAAGATATTTTTTTATGCAAAGAGGCACTTTTTTCAGGGCACTTAAATTTTAAACAAAAAAAAGAGAGCCAAACCTAGCAAGCAGCAGAAATTTGATTTGCACTCCGTATTGGTTGCACATTGGTCGTTCGTTTGAAAGGCCGGAAAGGAAGAAGTCACAGGATCGATATTTAGAGAAACCACAATTGAAGTGATGAGTATAACTACACTCAACATCGGCGACATAATTGTTTGTTTAGATTTAATAATCTCTGGAAAATAAAAAATTGCATGGCGAAATAATTCTGTAAAATAATTCCAAATCGGGAAGCATTCGACGCTTTTTTATCTTATTATGCATACATTATTTATAATAATTATTTATTATAAAAAATTAATTTATTATTAAATAAAAGAGATACTTGTTATATGTGTAAACAATAAAACAAGAGTTAATAATCTTTACTTAAGGTTTGTTCCTCGTTGTATGCTCCAGCATGCTCCAATGTACTCCTGTTGTAGCTCCTACTCACTTCGACGACCGCGTTAAAGTGAGTAAATGTTATGGTAGGATCATTTTAGAGCATGTTAAGAGCATGCGACACGAACAAACCTTTAGAGATTCTTGGTTGAATTACCAATTCATGTAGTAAATCTACAAACGTGCAATTAAAAGCTATTAATGAACGTAACAACGGCAGAAATGTCATAAGAATTATAATTAGTTCTGTGTTAAATGAAATATTTCTCCCGTAGGACTTCCTCGCGGAATTTTCGCGAAAGCCGGTCGTGAATTTTCGATCGCCGTGTGCGTCATCGCGCGTAAAAAGACACGCCGCCGCCGCCTACGAATCTCCTTGCGCGAAAACAACAGACACGAACATATTACGAACCTATCGTTATGAATCGTGGTCCACTGCTCGCCGCACAGCCTGCTCGACGTATGATTGCGCGAACTGATGAACGCATCGTTTTATACCGCTGCATTCTCTCCGCGTTCTGATGGCGTAAAAGGACGTGTTTCCGTGTCCGCTCAGGAATAATCACCAAATGAAACGGCGATTTTTTTTTAGACCGACCGCTTGTCAACTGAGAAGCTTACTTTTCTTATTCTTACTTTTGGAAGCTTGAAAAATGCATTTTTAATAGTCCCTGAGAGATTTTTATTTTTTATGAAAAACCATACATATGATAACTATTCTGACGATTAAATCAAGATATATACACGTTAATAAAATAGCGATAGACAGTTTATTGAAAGAAAAAAAATAAGGAAGATAATAAAACACATATGTGTGTATATGTACATATGTAAAGAGTTAGTAATAGATTTAATCCTTTTTGTAAAATAAATCTTCCTTAAGTGCTACTTAATCAATTAATGTTTTTTTTTTACTTTTCTTCCTATTAGGGATTGTTAGAAACTCCGCTGTTTGTCAAACAAATTAATGAAGATATAAATATACACGAAATATCATTATTTAATATTTACTTTTTTTATGGGTGAGAAATTTCTTTTTATGCATCCTTTCTGCATTTAACCGCATATTTATTCAAATGATTTGCATTTTTAGAAAATTGTTTAACAAACCTAACTGAGGATGAGTTGAATAATGTACTTTTTCTATTTTCACTTGTAATAACTTTTAAAAACTGTTAGAAGTTATGTAATGACTATATTGTTTTAGTTATAATAGATATCTTCTATTTAATGATACAAGTCGACACAAGTATCGTTTTGCCGTTGTTAGATATTCATCGAATGCAAAGAAAGATAAAACGACATTTGTGACTTGTGTCACTAAGTGGAAGACATCATACAATATTTATTGTAGTAAAATTTATTATTTAAATCTATTATTTTATAAAATAAAAAATTGTGTTACGTTAGACACACGACACATGTTTGCGTGGTAAACAAAATTGATAAATTTATTATTAATATAATTATGCCGTTAATAAATAAATCTTTATATTTTTTCTCTCGTTTGTAGAATGTAAGCACGGACTTCTATAATTCTATTATGTACCTACATTCATTTGTATGTGAATCACACTCTTAATATAGATTGGATGTATCTGACAATGAACAATATATTAGATGAACTAATTGAAATGCTCAAAGACATTAGCGTCACAGGCTGATTGTGTGTATCATTACGCAATCGAGGATTCGGAGTTTCCAGAATGCAAATTAATAAGTTCGCCAATGTGGAAAATGATTTCTGAGAAATTTCAAAGATATCTGCGCATTTTTTTCTTCAGATTCAAGACAAATTATCTAACATATTTATAATGTGACTTTTTAATATCAGTTTCTTAATCGTGCGTAAAATTTCTGCATCTCCAAATCATGCTGTCTTTTTGTACGATTTACCACAACGAAAATTTATTTATCATACTGTAATTATAATTATATATATATTTCGAGCATTTCTTCGATTCTATATATAATTCTTGGTTTATAGTTCAAGCATTGGCAAAACTGTGCAACTACGTAATACATCGTTTTCTACTATTGTCTATCTGCAGACAATAATAATTATAGAAGAAAGACTAGCCGTAGGGTATATGTGCATACATTACAAAACACTTACACGAGCGTCAGATTTGTTTATTGCGATCTGCGTAATTATATATATATCTGAAGATGAAAGATTATTATAATTACAAACGAGCATATATATATTCATGTGTCGGCTGATGATAAATTAAAACTCACATATGTATAAAAACATAGCAAAAATTTAACACATATATTGTATCAAGTATATAATAAATTACTTATTAATGCGCCGGACAAGTTATCGATACATTAAAGTAATTTAAAAGTGTTAGTATTATGGATCAGCCCAGATATGATTTTGCATTCGTGTATTTATTTTTATGTGAAAGAGGGAAGAATTTTGTTTTTTCAAATACACAGCATAATTATATATCATTAAATTGTAATTATTATTGTAATTATTATTAATTTATTATTATTTTATTATATTATTATATTATTATTATAATAAAAAATATAATAATCGAAGAACTCAATATTTAAAAATTCAAAAGAAAACATAAAGAATAAATAAAAATCAAGCATAGTGAAATGCAAATTAAATAAACATCATATTATTCAAAATTTACATAAACATTCAATAAACATTTCAAGTTCTCTTCGGACCATCCTCAGTAAATATTTTGACTTCTAATTTGAACTCGAAGAACAATTCGATCAGTCAATTTAATTTGCAGATACATTGTTCACTGATGATGACCCAAAACATTTGAACGTTTATGTGAATTTAAAAAAAAAATCGAAAAACAAAAAATCAACGAATAATCATTAAAAATAAAAAATGATCATATAATAAAAATAATAATCATGCATAAAATAATAATAAAAAATCTACAAATATAATCATACGAGTACATGATCGACGCACGGTTATACGTCACATTTTATCGCGATTATGCTGTTGATTATCCTGTTGACTAGGTGTCGACGGCGTTCCTCGTTGCAGCGGTTAACTTGTGACGACATGATAACTGTGGATAACTGGAAATAACCTGAAATAACCTCGTGTTGCCCCGTGCGAGGCAACTCCGTGTGCTTGATGTATTATGCGGTGGCCAAGTTATAACTATTTATAAAACCAGCTCGCGACTGGCGTACTTCCTTTAAGATGATAGAGCAAATATTATTCGTGGCAAATCGGGCGTATTTTGCTGTTGCGTCTTTCAGAATTAATTGAGATCTCGGATACTTCGTTGCCTCCAATGGAGCGGTCCTGTTTATGAGACTTCCTCCTGCCGATACATTAAGCATGGTAAATTTAAGGATGAAAACAATGAAAACAATGAAAACATGTGTCTTACAGAAATCACATTCTAGTTTTATATTGATTGTTTAAAACTTTTTCTATTTCTTTAAATGTATCTTTTGAACTTATCTCTTTATGTTTATGTCTTGTATTTAATTTTATATTTAATGACATTTCTTTCAGGCTCTTCTAGGAGCGCAATTGGTCATCACCCTTGTAATGGTCAGTGTTATACAAAAGTTGAGTCCACATTTTTCCTTTGCTAGGTGGATCTTATGTTCCACAGGGTATGTATCTTCATGTATAATTATAGAAATAATGGACAGTAATAGCATGGTAAGATCTATCATCTCTGTTTTTCTGTTTGCACAGATTGACACGATATCTGTATCCAACAGATCAGCAACTCAGAGCATTAGCCGGTGTGCCGAAAGAGAAACCAAAGAGAGGAAAACATAGCGAGAACGGCAAAGTGGGAGATGTGTTTCACGTCCCTAGAAATTTAGATATCAAACTTGAAAGTGCAAAAATAACTATTCTCGATGTAGTGAACTTAAAATATTATACGGAATATCAGTGGCTATTGGACTTCTCTGTATATGCTATCATTGTTTATGTACTGACAGAGGTTAGTACTCTTTAATTGCCGTTCTTTAATTAATACGAATATTTGTCTATACGAACAAAATACTTATCTTTAATGGCAATTTTAACTAGTATTTATATTCTATACAGTTGAGAGAGAGATTATAATATTGTCTAAAATTTCTCCTTTATCACTCAACAGGTGTACAATTATTTGTATCCAATCAAAGATGAAATTAATCTCAGTATACTTTGGTGTGTGGTGGTTTTGGGCTTTGCATTGTATCCTTTGAATTAAAATTTTTAACAGAAAATATGTAAAACTTCCTATTTTCTAAGGGATGAAAATCATGTTATGGTATTGCTTCCTTATATAATTTATAGTAAAGTGCTACTTTCCCTTTGGATACAATATTTCAAGGGTGAAGAGAGTGTTGGTGAAAGGTCCACGTGCATCGTTACTGGATTTGCATATCTTCTTATTGCTATGATGGTACTGATAATTGATGAAAATAAGTTGGAAATTGGATTGGAAAAAGCATATACGAGTTTCAATCATAGTGCTTCTCGTTTTTTAGATACTCAAGGGCTTTCTTCGACGTAAGTTTAATTAAATACTTGAATAAATAATTTTAAATCTGTTGCATGTTTCATTGATTATATAAAATACTGTTAGTAAAAGAATATTTCAGTAATAGATCTTTATCATTCATCAACTTTAAATACATTTTTTAAGAATAATTTAATACAGCCTATCTAATATTAAAGATTAAATAATAACTATTTCTATTATTGTAAGTAATGTTTTTGTTTTTGTTACAATGACATTACTAATATATTTAATATAGGGGACCAGCCTCAAAAATCGTTCTGAAGTTTTTTCTTGCTATATGGTGCGGTTTATTGGGATCTTTGTTTACCTTCCCGGGATTAAGGGCGTCAAAAATGCATTGGGATACGTTAAGGTAAAATAAACACAATTAATTTAATTGAAATATTGAATGCTGATTAATATATATGGAAATAATTGCAGATATTATAAAGATAATAAGTTTTTAGTGCTAATAGCAAATATTAGTTATGCCTCGCCACTTTTGTTGGTAAGCCTATGGATTACACCTATAAGTAGGGATTATTTGACTGTTCGAATATTCAGTGGCATGACTGCTCCATTGTAAGTTGACATTGAGAGAAAATAACAAATTAATATCTAAATAAATTGTAAAAAATTGAAAAAATTTTATTACAGAATGACAGTAGCAAGGTTTGAAAGTTTGAGATTGATTATTATTGTTGTTGCCAGTTTATTAAAAATTGTACTCATGCCGATATATCTACAATCTTACTTAAATCTCGCCATTCAGAGATTAGAGATACAAAAGAAAGAAGCTGGCCGAATAACTAATGTTGATTTGCAGAAAAAGGTTTGTGTCATAATATTATGAATTTACATAATTATTTTAACTGAAAACTTTGTTTTTTTGCTAAATAATGAAACAAGTTTTCTTTATTGTTGCAGATTGCAGCTGTATATTATTATCTATGTGTAGTGGCGCTTCAATTTGTTGTTCCCATAATTATATGTTTATTTTTTACGTTTTTGTACAAAACACTTGGTATGAAAAATATTGTGAAATATATAGTTTATTTACTTTAAATATATATATATTTTTTTTTAAATTATATCAGGTGGTTTTACCTGGGAAGGCATCTTAAAAGGAATGTTGGAGGAAGAATGCCCAGCGGATGAATTACCGAAATCACTATCATCTATCGTTAATATTGATAATATCGACAAGACTGTTATACAAACTGCTGAAGAAGTTCAACTCGCGCTAGGTTCATTGAAACAAGTAATATTTTAAGATATTCGTTAAAAAAAATTACATTTTATCACAGAAGCTTTTAAGCAATGTTTCAATGATACAAAGAAAATGTCTTGTTTACAGATATTTACCACAGATGTGTACAGAGGCGTCTTAGGGCTAGCGACGTGGTGGAGTTGCTTCGCACTATTATCGACCAGTGCCATGGGCATGTTTTATCAGTCGTACTTCTCGAACATGTGAAATGATTTGGGGGAAAAATTCAGACGTCACATCGCACAAATTTTCATTAATTCACAGATCAACCATTCATTAATTAGGCATAACATTGTTCATTGAGATACATATTTTCAGATTATCTATTTTAACGTCTATCGCCAAATAATTAAGATAACGGCTATTGATAACGTAAGATTTTTTAATGCATATGGCAATAAGTAGTACTACAGTTGTATTGTAAATAAAAACATTCTGGGACTTAAATAAAAACTATAATCGTGTTAAAAACATGATTATAGTATAGTAACGTGTATTTACGTAATATACAAATAAAATAGAATTAAATTACAATGTTGAATATTGTTGTAATTGTTTGCTATTTCCATCAAATATATTGAAGACTATAATCAAAAATATATTATTAAAAGAATTCGCAGTATAAAATAAATATTCGCTATGATATAAATGCGATTATCACTACCGAGATTAGATACTTGAAATTCTATAATCGTTCATCACATCGCAATTAATACTCACCATACGCCCACACTATTGTTGCATTAAGCATTTCGAAAGTGACTTTCTCCGTTATCAGCGATCTTGATCTTAGAAGAAATTATTTTGTTTACAGTCTTAATGTAAAAAATACTCATTTTTTTCTGCCGTTAAAAATAGATGATACACTGGTTGCGAGAACCTTATCATCCTATGGCTTTCGTCTGTCACATTTTAAGTAAACTATTACGCGTCGTTTGATTACGATTCATGGATTGTTCGACATTTTACATCCCGGAGAAAGTGTCTCGATGAAATGATGTCGATCGGATGCATCTCACGTTTCGCACCAGCCGTTTCCGTAGTATATAGCTCGCCATGAGGTTTCATCGCGCCGTAATATCGTCGTGATTTTTGTCAGCGATAATACTGTTCCTCTTCATTGTACGTTACAAGATTGATCGTGCGATTTTTCATAATGTTGGTGAGTGAGACAACAGAACACATACTTTTCGTGTCTCATTTTTCAAGTGTAACGAAACGTTTCATTGGAAGCTCAAATTTAAAAAATGTGCTCTAAGAATTAAAAAAATAAGTAAAATGTATATGTCTGATCCAAATTCCAAATCTTTAAGAAATATTTTATATAAATATTGATATATGGTAATTTTTACAAGCAGAAAATAATTATAATATAACATTATTATAACAATGAGATAACGATAATTTTTTTGTAATAGTACTTGATAATTACTCTTAACTGTTATTACAATTATTAAATTATAAGAATAATAATATTTAATTTTTGTTATAATTATCAGCATATCTTTGTTATAATGTCCTTTTTTTAAAGATATTTATTACTTAAGTATAGATATTATCTTTCAGAAACTCACTATATTACACTAATTAAATATCGCATTTGTCTCAACTGATGTCAAAAATTGCAGAAATACGCGGTTGTCTTAAGTGCGATGTATTGTTTAATCACGGCCGAGCCACCAATTCAAGCTGGAGTGAAGCCGACAAACGTAATAGGCAGTTCAGAGCAACATACCTCCTTCAGTTTCGTCCGACCGGGATTAACGCAAACGTCATTCGCATTCGCTGGGCCCAGCTCGCATCAATCATTCGCCTCCAACATCGGTAATCCTCAGCTAATTCAAAAGGTTCAACCGAGTATTGCACAAGCCCTCGCCCAAAGAAACCCTGGTTTAGGTTTGTGCTTACAATTAATAAACAATATTCAAAGTCCTTTTTTATTACACTAAGTATTTTATCATTCACATCCAATCATAGCGATATTAATTAATGATTCCTTAGTGAAAAACAAATCGGAAAGTCTTGAATTTTTTTCTTTATTTCTTTTTTCCGATGTTTAACAAAGAAAGTGTTATTAAATAAAGTCCATGTACATATGGACTTACATAATTATCTTGTCTATATTTTCACGCATACTGTGAGACGCGCCACTCACAAAAGCTGAAAAATATATCATTTAAAGAGAGATTGAGTGAATTCAATTTAATAATATATCTTTCAATCATTGCGCAGGATACTACGCACTCGGTCCCGCTGCAAGCGGAATCCTTCCGAATTTTGTGCCCGGACCGTTGATGTATCAGACCCAGACGGATCCCGCGGTCGCATTAACGTACCAGCAATTGCAGCAGCCGCAACAAGCGTATCTGCAAGCGTATCAGCCGAATGCAGCAATTTATCAATCGCAATTGGCGCAACTACTCGCCCTTCGTCAGGCACAATTGGCACAGGCTCAACAAGGACAGCTGCATGCGATTCCATCGGAACAGGTAGGTTCACTTTTGTTAGGAGACAAAAGTGAAAATTCAGACGATGCATTTATGATATAAGAAGCCTTAATTATTTTCCAAAAAATAGTATCTTATAGTATATTTTTATATGTGATATTTTTTGACAATACGGTTCACGTTTGCCGACAACAATCATATATCGCATCTTATTTCGTCGAATTATCTAAAATCTAAACTGAAATACAATATACTAATAAATTATAATAAGTCATTTGTTTGAGTAGTATTAATTAAATATTTATTAAATATAGATATATTTATTTAATACGAGAATCATTAATTTAATTTAATAATTTTTTTTTGTTAAGTAAATATTTATTTGCTGTAAGTAAATGTTTAGTTGGCACTATTCAATTAAATATTTATTAAAATTTAGTACATTTTTTCTTAGTATAGTAAGAGATAATAATTCTCATATATGGTGATTATTAAACGTTTGATTATTAAATATGATTTCTGTTAATAGTAATTGTGCACAGGTGCCTGAGACTCAGGTTCAGTTGCAGCAGAAACAGCAAACAGAACAACAATCGCAAAATTTGCTGGGTATCGCTTATTCATCTGCCCCATCAGTTGCGCGCGTGAAGATCTCTGGAAATGGATACAAGTTCGCGTTCTGATCCCGAATATTACAGCAACAATACAGCGCTTATTATAACAAAAACAATTTCTGCTCATACAATTTCTCAAATACGAAACACATGCATTTATTTATTATAAAAAAATCATATAAATAAGTTAATTACATATATATTTTCAGTACTTTGTATATTAAATTATATTAAATAATTATATTAAATAATAATATAAATCATAATTAGAGTTATTTTGTTATATAAATAATCAGCTACAGTTTAAAATAAAATTTATAATAGATGTCTCGTTCAATAAGCTCTTAAATAAATATAGTATTCTAGGCATTCTAAGCGCATTATTAGGATATATTAGTCACTTATACATATTGTTATCACGAATGAAAAAAATTAACTTTGCAAAGGCCCCGGGGGGATTCGAACCCCCGATCTCCTGTTTACTAGACAGGCGCTTTAACCAACTAAGCCACGGCGCCTACGAATTCTTTTTCGACCTATCAACTCCATAAGTTCAATTGTGACGTTTAAACTTCATAACTGCATCGATTGCCTCTTTATTATATTATATTATTAATCAAAACATAGTTCAGATCACAAATTATTTATTCTGTTAACTGTATAATTTATTTTGATTGATAAATGCATAAGGTCTCTGAAAGATATTAAAAAGATACGAAAAGAATTACATTATAAATAAAGAATTGCATTATAATTGAAGTCAAATTAAAAATTTCACAATAATAAGCGCGTGTAATCTGAACTTAAAAATAACATTGCATTTTCTTTTCTGTATGTTTATTTATATTTAAAGTATCCTTATGCTGAATATATTTGGTATAAGACATTAACGTTTCAACTGCATCTTTGGATCAGGAATGAAAGAAAAAATAATTAAAAAAGAGATCTCCCCGACGGGGAATCGAACCCCGGTCTCCCGCGTGACAGGCGGGGATACTAACCACTATACTATCGAGGAATTTTTATTTGTGATTTCAAAATATGTGACATCTATTAAATTACAATAAATAGTTGTATAATAGTAAATATAGACATATTAAACATTTATGTAACTATGCAAAACATATAAAAATAATTAAAAATTTTTATTCAATTACGTCATCATGATTCATCATATAATAATGGATATTTTAAATCAATCTAATAAAAATTGAATCATTATTCCGCACTAACAATTACATTAATGAAAAAAAATAAAATAAAATAATAATTTCGCTGGCCTCCATTTTGCAAGAAAAAAGGACATTCAGTAACAAAAATAGTGTTCCCCATTATTCACGCAGTCGGTAGGACTCGAACCTACGCTCCCAGAGGGAATCTGATTTCTAGTCAGACGCCTTAACCACTCGGCCACGACTGCTACGTGTATCTACCTGCTGGAAATTCAGATACCTTGTAGTATAAATATTTCAACATATATCAAATATTAATTTCATTAATATTATATATATGAATGTGTGATATATTATACACAGCAATTGACTCGATACTAATCGTATTTTCAGATTCAAAATATTTAATATTATCCAATTCGGTATTCGCGATACGGGTATATATAAGGATGTGCGTCATTAAACGGCGCCGTTGCAAACCAAAAGGTAATAAAAATGGCGATCACGTAAAAACTCACGGAAAGCGTTGACAAAAATTAACGATTGACCCCGACGTGATTTGAACACGCAACCTTCTGATCTGGAGTCAGACGCGCTACCGTTGCGCCACGGAGTCTTGGCGGTGAGTCGCTTCCGAGTAAGAAATACATTCGTATCTCGATAAATCGGATTACAAATGATCTCATTTCTTATCTTACGTGTCATGAATTTTATATCGAACGACAATAAGAATAATTCTTGTAAACTTCTGGCGTATTCTGGCACTAAAGTTTTTAAATGAAGAACAAAGTAATTTCAAATATCGTAGCTCTTTCTTGCATTCAAAATACAATTACCTAAAAAAATTCTTTATTTCCTTATTTAAATTATTTAAATTATTTTGTTTTTTAATAATGTGCATGATATTTATACTGCAAGGAAAATAAAGGATGGCACTTGTGGACATCTTTCAAGCTTCTCTGTATTTATGACACGCATGAGAACGTATTTTTACAGACTCGCATTCACGTTTCGCATTTGATCATCCGAGCCTCAAACTCGAGGCACTTTGCAACGTGATCTGCATGCAAAAGAAACATTAAGGGCGAGAGCACAATCTTGTATAATAAAACATAACATATAATACGTAAAATAAAAAAATGGATCAAAATTCTTCATTTTCTTTCTTTCCATAAAACAGAAAGTTCTTGGAATATTGGTTGACTTTCTTACGCTTTGTGCATTATGCATTATACAAAGTGCTGTGCCTCCTTTAACACACATTCTACAATAAGCCATTAGTAATAAATCAGAAGCTAAACATTGACCAATCATAGTCAATTATTCTTTGACTGTGATTGATCAATTTTTAACTTCTGACTTCCGATTTATTACTAATGGTTTATTGCAGAATGGCCATAAGATTACCGTGTCACCAGTCACGGTCGGATCCGTTTGACGCTAACACCTGCCAGCTCGACCCGAGCGTCCCGAGTATCCGAATGTACGGGCTATACATGGACGATCGATGCATGGACGTGCGCTACTGCATGTCCCCTCCTCGCTTCTTCGCATGTGTGCGACTGTGCGTGCCGCCGTGAGAAATTGAACGCGCACATCAGCCACATCGCCAATCGCCACATGCAGCGCGCCGAGGCGAGGCGAGGCGAGGCGAGGAATTGGTGCGCGGCCGATCGTTGATCGTCGTCACCCCAGCGCGGCCGGGCCGGGCCAGCCCGGTGACGAGCACGTGGTGCGTGCTCACATCCCGCATGCGAGCACCGCGTTATCCGGACGGCACGCAGTGATAGGAGCTCGTACGACGCAGCTGTTCTCCCTACGTTGAACAGAGTTTCGCGCGGGTTGTCTCGCCGAGCCCCTCCTGCTACCAGGGAAACACATCGCGCAAGGAGGCGATCTCGAGCTCTCTCCATTCTCTCAATCAAGCACGGCCGGCTCGCCGACGATGTTCCATCATACCTTGACTTTCGCCCGTGAGGAATTTTTTCAACAGGAACGCATGCGGCCGCCCGCAATCTCGCGACGCCACCGATAGAAGCGCTGATGTCAACGACGCCGGCCTACGTATGTACATATACATACATATACATACATATGTATGTACGTGTGCACGACTGCACGCACGAGATTATGTACTGGGTGTATCGTGGAGTTGCGTAGACGATTGATTCTTCCGGAGAGTTGAAGGACATTGGAAGAATGCGTGAAATAAAGTGGCACAGCTGATCTCGTATCAATGTGTCTGTGAATATAGAAATAACGTACTCCCTCAAAAGAAATTTAATATTGTAAGTGATAAATTGATTAGTGATATATCATTTATTTTGAGTATTGAAAGCACCGTTGTTAGTACTTTTTATATTTAAAATAAGTAATTAATCACTAACCAATTTAATACTTTATAAAGTAGTTTATAGTTATAGTTTTCTCTAAGGTTTCTATTCTAGTTCTTATAGAAATTCAAAATTGATTCTAGTCAATTTAATATTAAAAATTATTTGTATATTAAAAGCATTGAACAATATAGAATATATAATAATATATTAGGTGTTGGAATTAATTCGTAGCGTTTTTTAATGAAAGAATGTTATTTATTTCACATGAGCATTAAAAAACACATTAATGAAAGTACTTCCCATCACTTGTAAAACGCTACGAATTAATTCCAATACCTAATATATATACATATAGTCTGTATCCATATACAGTATTGGTTGTCTCTTACAGAAATTTAAAGGACGGTAGTGATTAATTATTTATTTTAAATATTAAAAGCATTGAGCAAACAATAATTTTAATATTCAAAGTAAGTATTAACTTATACTATAATTATCTTCACTATTAAATTTCTATAAGATACATCCATACAGTAATATGATAATTTAGACTATATAGAGTGTACATATATAATATTATATATCGATTATATAAAATGGCTTTTTATAAGTTAATGCATTTTCATATGTTTGCATTTAAATTCCGATGAATAATACATATTTACAATAAAGCAAGATAATAAGATGTACAAAAAAAAATTTTTGTATTAAGAAATGAACTCTAAAAGAATACAGGACGTATTATTAAATTGTTGTTCATATGGTAATATTATTATTCATTAAAAAAACTATAATCGTAATAAGGATTTTCAACAATTTATGTGAAATCCTCCATAACAAACGCTTTATCCAAGAACTTTAATATATCTGAATTTTACACGATAAAACTTAGCACCTCACGATACGATATACATATTTATACGATAAATTTATTGTATCAAGTACGAGGAGATCAATATGCATTCAATTTATCTTATTCATAATTCGTAAATTACGCAAAGTTGATTTTTCTACCGCGTCGTCGCCACTCGTAAATGTCAGCAAAACATCATCGCCTTACTCCAATGTGTCGCGTGAGTCACCCTGTATATGTACATACACACTGCCTCGTTGCAGGTAATAGTCCCCACTCCTTCGCGTAGCAGGTTTAATTTTAGGGGAAAACGTAATAACGTTCGATCCGTTTGGGAGCTATTCCCATGGTGGCGAAGGTACGCGACTTGCGTATCGAGTATCCCAGTGTCGACGTAGACACGAGGTGTCTGAGCAACACCGTAGAAACCCGGAGTTAAAGTCGGTATTCGCGCGTACGTCGTCCTAGTCGACAACAGTGGCAACGGCGGTGGCGACGGTGGCGGGGAATCGTACGTTATTAATGCCGATTTTGGGGAAAAACGGTGTCACTGTCCCCGTGGACGACGATCCGCCGACTCTCGCGAGACGTAGACGAAAGACGGCCGCGCGTCGGTCGCAGCCGCGCGTCGCCGCGCGCGATTCTCTGGCGCGGGCGGGCGCGGCCCAGCGGGATTCGCGCCATGCTGGCGCGGCGGCTTGCCGGGGCCCGTAGCCCTGCCCAAATTTCCGTCCATGCCGGAGTCAATGAACCAATAAGCGGTGGAAAGAGATCGCCGTGGACCAATGGGATATAGTTGCGCCGTGACGATGCTTAGAGGCCCGCGCGCTCTTCCTCAAAATTGTGTCTTTCCGATCCACGGCGAACAGAAGCGGCCAGGAGTTGCGAGTACCGAGCTGGCGGCGGCCACGCTCTCAGCGCTCCTACTCGGCATTGCTGTGTCCCTGCTCGTCGCTCGGTTAAATTGTTGATTATGTCCATTCTGCTCGTTGACTGCAGATTATTCTTATGGGCTACGTGTAAATTAGCGTGTGGAGGACGAGCTGGGGTAACCGTAAGATAAGTCGACGAATCGTTTAACATCGTGCGTATAACTGAACACTTGAACTGATCGACTGCTTTTGGTGTCGTTTTAGAGGGAGTGGCTTGACACTACGACGCAGTGTATGGTGGATATGTTATGTAAGATAAGTAGCGGCAAATAGACTATGCAGCGAGATATAGCGAGAACAATGGACGTTCGTATATAGAAAGAATTGTTTTGTAAGGTTCTCGTTCAAACTGTCGAACATCTATAACGCATTAAAATATATTAGATAATCAAGTTGACAATACTCTGTACATGTATGTATACTGTATACACTTAATATTACATATTTTATTACATTATATATTATCGAATATATTATATGTATATTTCGTAAATATTATTTATTTAATAAGTCTTCTTGTTAATTTCAAGACTTAATCTGTACAGTAAAATTTTTATATTACCTTGAAATAAAAGTCTTAATCAAGCTCCGAGAATTTTTTTCATTGTGATAATAAAGGAAAATAGTTGACGTCACGCAAAAATTATGAATTAGCTTAATTAGTGGTTATAACAGTAGTATTAATTAAATTATAATTAATTGTAATCACAAAATTGTATACGTATATGTATCAAATGTAAATATACACGCGCTAATTGTGCGTGTGGTAAGTCATTGTGACATGGATCGTCGCCGTGACTACGTCGGTAATTTCCATCGAGCGGAAACATTTCGGACGAAAGTAGGTACCATAGGTAATACAAGAACGCGTACGCCAGGACGACTTTCTCGCCCTGCATGCTATTCTGGTGCGAGGAGGGGCCAAATGAGACAACCCGCGCGAATGACGCTCAACTGTACGAGAGAGGAGAAAAGCCATAGCATTTATGCTACCCTGATAATGCACGGCCTACGTACGGGATGTGAGCACGCACCGCACTTCATTGCGGTCAAAGAACTAGAAGAAGAGAATATGTAGGTGCATATAGATGTGTACGCGATGCAAAATCGTCACCCGAGATAAAAAAAATGCGAATGCGCTCCTCCGTTGTGCGTTTACGGTCGATATTCATTCACTGGGAAAAGAATAATAATTACCAAATATTGAGTAAAATAATGTTAATCAAATGTTCGCTTGATGTAACTAAACATAATTTTATTTTTTTTAATATTTAGTAATTATTAGTAAATCGTTGATTATGTTATTATATTTAGTAATACTTATCGTATTTATTATGTAAAAAAATAAAATTATTTTTTATTATATTAACCGAATATTGAATTCACTCATCGTTGTAATTATTACTATAAACTCTGTCAGTATAGTCTGTTTGTATTTTAACAGCGTTGTATTATTATTATATCTTGTATTATTAATGTTTTAAGATGCGAATACGGTTCTGTAATTGATTTAACATCTTCAGATTTACTTATAATATAATTTTAAGTCTAAAAAATGACTATGAATAACGACGTACATGAATATCGAGGGAATATTTCATCTCTCGACACGAATACGGAGATGGACAGATAAGCCTCTAACATTTCCATGTCAAATCTAACATGTCAAAACAGAATTAAATTCTCGGCTGCAGTTTCCATGATTTACAATTGGACAATTATGAAAATACATTTCACAATTGTCCAACTGTAATTCATGGCAAAATAGGTTTCGTAGCTTAATGTATTAAGTTTAACGAATAACAATAATAAATAATAATTAATAATGTAACAATAAATAAGAATAATACATTAACAATAATAAGAATAATATATTAATAATAAGAATAATTTTTTCGAATAATCAACAGTCATAATATGCGAACATATAGACAGAAAACATGTGCGCCAAATATACTCCGATACGTGCGTAACTTCATGCGTTAATATACTTGTGATCCCACACATGTATACAGTTATTGTGTGTATTCTTCTTCAGTTTATTTGTCAGCAATATTTTATTCAACATATTTACATGTGCGTATCCACGCAGAAGTATATAAGTCATCATGATGATTCTAAAATGATGACTGAAAGTCACTTTCCAATCAATTACGACTCATTTTAACACCATTTTGACATGACTTCTTTTTCCGTTTTGGGTAATAATAAATTCATTTTTTTTTTGTTACAATATATATATAATATACATATATAATAATAATAATATATGCTTGTAGACATAGCTTGATGTCCATTTATGATGTATCGAGCTAGAAGGAGCTGTTAATTGGGCGTGGTCCGTAGTAGCATCTTTTGAATGAAACCTGTATCAGGATACCACGTGGCCTCGGAGCACACTTCCGTTCTCCTTTTTCCTACGACGTCGTTATTATTATTGTTACTATATCAGTCGTGCGTTCCGTTTGTAGTTATACTGAGAAAACTGACCGCTATGTAAAAATATTATAGTTGCTGCTTGTCTTCAATCATCATCTTTGAAGGGCAATCCTCATAAAATTGAAGTGACAATCTCAATCGTGAATTATATTAAGGCTTATTATACCTATTGTATTTCCCCCGACGACAACAACATCAACAGGATCCCATCTGCTCGCAAGAGCATGGGGACTCCGTGAAACGAGCTTCCGTAAGGAGCATGTATGTATATGTTCCTTTGCTCCGTACATATTATATCTCGTGCTTTAGAATTCCGTCTTGTTCTCTCGAAAGCGACTCCCAGATCGCAGATAATATTTTTAATTGTTCATCACGTTACATGAAAAACAAGCGTGAATAATATATCGACAAAAGAAATAAAACGGAGTCAAAATCCTTAATTGAGATTTGTATAAATTCGCTTGCATTATTATTATGAAACGAGACATTCATCAATCAGACTTATTCTTCGTCTGAATGGCACACAATTTCTTATCGCGATTTTGAGCTTATTTTAAGATATATCCAAGAAGAACGATAAGTCTTCACATCAATATTATGTCAAAGTAACTTCAAAATAATCATTAAAAATCATTTTTCAGTCATTTACGTTAGTCATTTATTAACGTAATTTTGACGTAATTTTGACTCGTTCTGCTTGGGAACATCTCATGTAGATACGTATTATAGAAGAAGCTTATAAGAAAATTTGCCATCCCCAGAAGGAGATGAGCAAATCTAATTTATATAACGACTACTTAATTCTTGAGCTAATATTTATGCCGATTGTTCTTGATGGGCAGCTCTCTGCTCGTTCGACTCGGTCTCGAGCTCGTTAAAGTGGCCCTTTCCTTCCGCAGATGTCGCGCGCACTGAACAACCGAGACGTTAGCCTACTCGTAGCGCATGTAAGCCTGATAGGTGTGAACCACGGCGCCGCGTGCCGACGCAACCCATTGGACCTTCGAAGGAGACGCTACCATTGCGTCTCGTTAATCGCACACGACGTGCGGTCGCCACGCGCGAGGCCGCGAGGCCGCGGCTACGGCGCGCCATACAACGCGACGCGGCGTGCCATCCGCGGGTGGGAGGGAAAAAAAAAATGGCAGCGGTGGGATTCGAACCCACGCCTCCGAAGAGACTGGTGCCTTAAACCAGCGCCTTAGACCGCTCGGCCACGCTACCATTGATGAGAAGTCGATCTGTTTTTCGACTGTTCTCACGTGAAACATTCTTAGGGAAATTAGAGCACGTCTCGTCCTTAATCTCGTTCGACGCGATTGTGGAAAGACGGGAAATGGAGGGGAATGCGAAAGAAAAACAGATCTCTCATATTTCCTGAATCTATATTGTATCTGAAAAATCGGTAATATATATAACGTATAGTGATAATATTTTTGTACGTGTCTTGAGCCACAATCTTGCTTTAAAAGGCCGTAAGTCGTAGGCTGTAAGAAATTGACCAATTACGGTCGATTATTTTTCTCATATTCAATTGCGATTTAGTCAATTTCTTAAGACTTACTGTGGCTTACGGTGGACCGAGCTTATTTCTGTCTTTAAACTGTTTTTGCGCGATTTTTAGGCTTTAATTGTTAGACGTAGGGTTGAGTAAGTTAACTTTTTTTTTTAACTAAGTCAAGTTAACAACGTTGAAAATTTAATTTAAAATACAAGTTAAAATACAAGTTAATTTATAATGAAATTAATTGAATTAAAAATTAAGTTAATAAAAAAAGTAATTAAAAAGTTAAAAGTTAAATTTGTTTTTCTTTATTTTAATTTTATGATTTTATGGTTTCAGTTTTACAAATAACGGAAATGACAAATATATACTTCATTTAGAAAATACTTTATATTTTATTTACATGTTTTGTTTATATATATATTGTTTACATAGATTGTCATATGTACTGTTTGAATATTTTGTTCACATATTATTAAATTTAAGTAATACAGTCATTTCGAAATTTTCGTCGGACATCTTTCCTCGCAAGTTATCGAAAATGTGCCCTCCTGCAGCCATTCAATGTGAGTTGAAGATGGTATTGATGTGTTATATTTTAATAATAAGTAATAATAGATTTCAACCTATCAGAAATTAGATACATCGAAATACAGTTTCTGAGATTGAAATCTGGAGGTCGATTGTGTAATTTAAAATAAAATGAAAATTACAAAAGTGAAATTTACAAATTTACTAGAATATTTATAATTTCATTGGTCAACACCTAATAAATTTGCTCACTTTTGAAATTTTCACTTTATTTTAAGCTATCGCTATTGCCGCGTATTATGTGTCTGAGACTTAACTTCAAAAAAATTAAATAAAAAAATTAATAGTTACGAATAAAATGTAACTAAATAAAGTTAAAAAGTTAAGAGCCTAAAATGTGTAACTAAGTTAAGTTAAAATTAATTAACTTTTTAATTTAACTTTTATCTTTTTAACTTAGCACTATCCGATCCTAGTTAGACTTAAGCGAATTGAGCAAAAAAATTCTTATGACCTAAAAGCATAAGTTTTCTGGCCAATATATCGCACATTTACAATTTACAGCTTACAGCTTACGGCCTTTTAAAGCAAGATTGTAGACCAAACTGATATTTTTTGGGAATAAGAGTTGGAGTACTTAGATTTTTATAATATATAACGCATAAGAATATTCCTTTCCAGAAAATAAAAGACTCTGATTATTGCTTGATTTTCTTATGCACTTGTAACCTTAACGATAATTACATTCTTGCGTTTTCATTAGTGAACACTGTTTACTTTCTTATTCATTCTTCCGCTCTTTGCCCGCTTTTCTCTCCTTGTCATTCCTCTGAAAAAGAATCTGATGTCATCTGATGTTTCACCCGTGAAGGTCGCGTATATGAACGAGTTTCAAAAATTATAAAAAAAAATATCACTTTTCTCATACATCACGCCGAAACATGTGCTGTGT